CTTTTTTATGGTACATCTTCATGAAATTCTAATTTAACATGTTTACAATCGATATTTTTACCTACTTGCGTTAAAAAAATACAAAGAACTTTAAAAATAACGATTTTGACAATTGTCACTTATCTAGGGTACATATTCACTGAAGTTTTATTTAAAATATTATCAATACTTATAGCCCATTTACGTCAAAAAAAGTTTAAAAATAATGATTATGATAATTGTCACTTATCTAAGGTATATTTTCACTGTATTTAAACATACTAGCAATATTTATTCTAACCCATTATGGTCAAAAAAATTCAAAAACTTTAAAAATAACGATTATGAAAATTGTCACCTTCCCGTTAAAAAAGTTTAAAAATAATGATTATGATAATTGTTACCTATCTAGGGTACATCTTCACTGAAGTTTTATTTAAACATACTAGCAATACTTATTTTAACTCATTTTGGTCATAAAACTTTAAAAATAACGATTATGACAATTGTCACTTTTCAATGGTAGATCTTCATGAAATTTTAATTTAGCATGTTTACAATCTAAATGATATTTTTACCCTTTTGAGTCAAAAAATCAGAAAAATAACGAATATGACAATTGTCACATTAAAATATTATCCTTAAAAAGATCACAAAATAATATAAATAGTTAAATATAAATATTTAAAAAAAAGTTATTTAGCTACCTCTTTTAATATACTTAAGAAATAGATAATTTTACAAAAATGATAAAAAAAACATTTCACCTAAAAATTGTATATTTATAATAAATTTCACAAAAGAATTCCTTAAAAAAGATATTTTTACAAAGAAGATATAAATTTTTATCATAATATGTTCAAAAAATTTTTTGAACTTCAAGAAATATTTTTTTTACTTAAAATCTTGGGCGTGAAAATCACTAATAAATTGTAACAAAAATAATATTACAATAGTAGCATATCATTTTTTATTAAAAAACATCAAATAATAAATAATTGTTGTTTTCCTTTAAATAAATGCATTCGCAATATATTTATTGTTTCGCGGTAATGCGCTCGCGGTAATGACTTCGCGCAAACATATTCGCGATAAAAAATTTGCTGTAAAGTGTTCGCATGAAATGTTTCGCTAAAATGTATTCGCTCTAAAAAGTATTCGCTCTAAAAAATTCGCGGTTAAGGTTTCACGGAAATAAATTCGCGACAATGGCTTCGCGAAATTGTCTTCGCTATAAATGTTTCGCGAAGATAAATTCGCAGAATTAGTTTCGCGATTTTACCTTCGCTATAAAAACTTTTCGCGATAAACGACATTCGCGATAAAAGTTTCGCGATAAAATCTCTGAATTGACCTGATACGGTATAATTCTATGTTGTGATGATTTAATGGAACATATTGACGATTAAATTAAAACCCATCCATATAAAATTATAATCTTTGCCAGGGATGCGAACCCGACAAAATTTTTGCCCGGGTTCGGTTCGGGTTCGGTTCGGGGTATAAAAAAAAAGGTGGGTTCGGTTCTGGTTCGGTTCAGGGAAATATTTTTGAACCCGGGTTTGGTTCGGGTTCGGTTCGGGTTCAAGAATTTTTGAGTTGATAAAAAAAATTCTATATTTAAATCATAATAAAAAACTAGACATAAATTTGATATAAAAAATAAATTTTTTATTTTATTTACAGGCAAATATAGTTAAAAATACAAAGCATATAGTCATGTATCAATTTTAAAAATTTTATTTAGACGTATTAGCATAATATCTTCCAAGAGTTGTTCACTCATCCTCGATCTATGTGGTGAAAGAATGAATTTCAAATGTGAAAAAGATCTTTCAACGCTAACCTATGTTAAATGTATTTATATGTGAAAATATGAAAAATTAACTTGGGTTGCAGGAACAGCAAATAAGATTTTAGATAAAATATATAATTCAGGGTGTTCTAGCTTAGCAGACTCCCAAAAATGCAAAATATTTTCCTTCTTATCTAATCTTTTATAATCGCTAAACCCAGTAATTATTGTTCCAATAAATCGTTGGCCCTCTTTTAAGTATTTTCTCCTGCCTTTCTTTAAGTTGTATCAATTTCTCTAAATCATCTTCTTGTTCAATAATTTCATCGGAACTAATATCATCAGATAAAATCGGCGTTGTTAAGCTTTTAATTCGTCTCCATAAATTGACAAGATGTTTTTTCGCACAAATCTTATCATCATCACTAAGTAATACCTGTAATATTTAAGGATTTATATTGTTTATATTTAAATATTTCATAAAATAACAATTTTAATATAAATCTAAAATAATTAATTTACTAAGCTTTTAATTAACCTTGTATCTTGGGTCCGGGTATATGGCAGCTAAGAGAATTTCGTTCTTTATAAACCTTTCTTCTCTGTTCTTAAGACAAGAATATAGTAATTGAGCAAAATGGTTTAGATTTTTTTCCAGTTCGATGCAGCATCTTAACCATGCTGCATAAAAATCTGTCAGTGTTAACTGTTCAGATTGGAATTGTTTGGTTGCGATTTTTAGCGGTTTTAAAATTTCAACAATCGTTATTATCTCTTTCCAATCTTCAGTCAATAAATAATCAGATTGCTCTGTAAAAAAATCTTCGATATTGGTTTTTAGTAAAATCAGCCTTTTAACATATCATGGGTTGAATGCCATCTGTGGCAATCTAACACAGGCTTATGGAGTTTCATATTTTTTAATAACTTTTGGTAAGTGGGATGTCTTAATTTTAAATTTAGGCTCCTAGCTTTTGCAATGGTTTCCACAATAGGTGATAATTTTATAGCATCTTGAAGTGCCAGCTGAAGTGTGTGAGCTGCACACCGTACACTATAAATCGGATAGGATATAATAGTTGATAAAAAAGTATTTTGTATATCATCAATATCATATTTATATACATTTACATCCATATTTTCCTCATCTGCTGATTCACTCCTTATATCATAATCAGTTTCTGGTTGCAGGAGCTTTATAGCTCTTAAAAAATTACAACCATTATCAGAAGTAATTGTGTATATTTGTTGAATATTAATTTTAAATTTTAGTAAAGTTTTTAATATATTCTCTTTTATATATTCTCCTGTACATCTCTCTTTCAGCTCTACAATTCCAAGAGTCCTCAAATTTATAATGGACTTTGATATAAATTGAATATTTACACCAAGAATTGACCTATCTAGTCGTTGAACTGCATCAAATTTTAAACTTATTAATTTTCCTTCTACCTCTCTCGATATTTTGTCTCTTGATTGGGCTGTTTTATTAATAGTTCTGGATAAATTTTCTTTGTTTATAACTAAATTGAGCCCAGATAGGAGTGGATTTATAATTCTTTGAAATCCCGAATCTTCAATAATTGATAAAGGCCGGCCATTTACAGTAACAAGTTCTAGTATAGAACTCATCAAATCATTAGATGATATATTTATACTTATATGCTTTTTTGGAAAAAAGGTTTCTATATTAATTTTAGGTTTTTTTGCCAATAACAATTCCTGATATTTGGTTTTTTCATTTAAATAATTTAAATATTCATTGTTGTGATTTCTTTCCAGGTGTCTTTCTAAATTTGACAAGTGATTACCAGACATTTTTACTTTGCAATATGAACATATTGATTTTATTAAGGGTAAAATGCTTATCAAATATGACTTTATCTTTAATCTTAAATCTATAAAAAGAGAACAATTTTTTTAAATAGCAATGATTTCAGAATTAAAAAAGAGATATTTATAAATTTAATTTCATTTATAATATGCACTTCATTAATATCTTGTAAAAATTAAACTGAACCAAAAATAAATGATTAGCATATATAAATTTTAAAATCATTTTAATAAGTTCACAAAAACTGCCCTACATTTAACAATTTTTAAGTTAGATGTTTAGAATTTTTTAAATTAACAATATAATAATTTTTACTTTGATGTGTTAACCATTTTCTTCTAATTTTAAAAATAAATGGCGTAAATTATTTCAATTGTTTAAAATTTTTTAACACTCCAATAGGAATCGAGAATAAATTTAAAATGGCATAAATGAATTAAGTTATTTAAAATTTATTAAGACTTCATTTAATTGGAAATTTGAAAATATAATATTTGTATTTACATATATTAATATATGATTTAAATAATACACTGAACCCGATTGAACCCGGGTTCAAATAAAATTCTTGGGTTCGGTTCGAGGTTTTGAAAATTTTATAAATGGGGTTCAGGTTCGGTTCGGGTTCAGAGTTTATTTCTAAAAACCCGGGTTCACTTCTCCGGGTTCGGGTTCGGTTCAAATCCCTGATCTTTGCAAAAATAAATTTCAATAATGCTTTGTCTATATTTTAATTATTTTTGCAAAGATTATAATTTTATATGGATGGGTTTTAATTTAATCGTCAATATGTTTCATTAAATCATCACAACACTGTATTTAAACATATTAAATAAAATTATATCGTAAAAAATTATAAAATTAAATGATATGTAAAATTATTAATTTATAAATAAAGTTTCAAGTGTGGCATTTAAAAAAATATTGTTCAATATTTGAATCAAATGATTTAATTATTTAAGTATGACAAAAAGAAAAATGGATATTTTATTTATTTTTAACATCTGGTAATAAATCCCCCCCCCCTCACTTAATATAGCACAATTATTACATCTAATATTAAAATATATTTGAAAAACGCCTCCCAGAGCTTACTTGGTAACAAAATTATCTTAAAATTCAGAACCTTTTATGTTATATATTATTTTTATAAACAGAAAAAAATTATATATTCTTGAAAGCGCGAAATAATACTAAATAAATTGTTGATACAACTTTATTTTAAATTTAATTTTTTGCCCACACAGAAAATAGCTATATGTATGCATATTTATAATATTCATTGTTATAGACAAACTAAAAGCCTTTATTCATATAAATACCTTATATTTAGCATAAAATACATAAATTACTGTTTAATGTTTACATTTTATGTCTTTTTATTGAAAATAGCTTTTACAAGAGTTTGGTTCCGATATGGGGTCGACAAATTCCCTACACAATGATGAAATTCGCTTGCTTTGAACGAACGGTCGAAGCTCTATACAAACACGTTGTTCCTAAACCTCGTTCCAAATGCACTAAAGCTGAACAGCTTATAGTCACCTTTAGTGCTGGTTACATTGGTATGCTTATAAATTTTTATCCTAAATGGCTGGTTAGAAATGATGGGGATCATGTACTATTTTAATATTATATAAATATTAAAATGTGTATTTTATAAAATTGTATATCCTCATTTTTTATGAAACATTAGCTAACTTGCACATAAAAACTAAATTAATATTTATTTTTCATAGCTGGTGTGTTTTGCGCCGTAGTCTCACATCCCGCCGACACGATAGTTTCCTACATGAATAAAGACAAAGGAAATACAATGATGTCATCAGCCAAAAAACTTGGATTTAGAGGTTTTTTTTAAAAAAATATATTAATTTATCTATATAATCAAATATAATAAGCGTTATATAATAGGTATAGGAAAAGATGTTCTTCTAAATTTTAAATCCTGGACTTGAAACATTTATTCTTTAAAAATATTTCTTTCATATACCCATAATTTTTTGGTAGCAGTGGGTTATGCAATATAAATTTATACTTATAAAAATTTTGTTTGAATGTAAATTAAATTATCATAACAAAACAAATTTGAAAATTGGCTTGGTTATATTTAAATGGGTTTTCAGATTCAGCTTATAAATCCAGAACAAACCATATTTAACCGCGAAAATTGTATTTTAAACTTATATAAAATTTAGGTCTTTGGAAAGGCCTCGTCCCTAGGATAATAATGATAGGCACTCTCACCGCTTTACAATGGTTTATATACGATTCCGTCAAGGTTGTTTTCATGATGCCTAGACCTCCACCACCTGAAATGCCTGCAAGTCTTAAGAGGAAGTTGTCAGATATTGATCTCACCCTCAAGGAGTTGTGAATATATTAAAATTATTTTTTTTAAGTTCCTAAAATGTTATTAATTATTTGACTTTGCATAGCCTTTTTGAAATTTAATTTACTACTGGTTTTGTCAAATGTATTCATATTCTGAAGAGATGTATGCTATAATTACATTATACTCAATTTTATCCATACATATTAACATTCTTTAAAATTATTCTCAGAACCTATTTTATATTAAAAATGAGAAATAGTCATTTATAATCACAAGATTGTCACCCACCATAAACTTATACCTTTTTTAAAATTGTATTTCACACGATTTTCGAAAAGCTTTCAAATTTTACTATTTATTAACAGTTGATGTATTTTTCAAACGGTGTCTAATTTATAAATTAAAATTTTTGTTATTATGTTTGCTATATGTAATCATTTGGATTGTGAAATGAATCTTAAAAACAAAATATACTGATATCTTTTCAAAATGAAATATTTTAAAATTTAGCAAACAAGTAAATGTAAATTGAAAGGGACTGATATCTCTTTTTTAAAATTTTTTTATAAATTATTAGCATCCCAATTAAAGCATTTAGTAAATTGAAATGGTTTTTATAATAAATTTATTTGATGAAAACCTACTATGTATTAGTTTACTAAAATGTACATTTTGTATAATTATAAGATTTATGGATGTATTATATTTTAAAAAAATCATTTTTGAAAAAGGTTTGGGGTCATCCAAAGGAGGAGTGAATGATTTATGAAGTTAGAAATTAAATATAAAATTTTTTTAAACATGTTTATTAATTGAACATAATTTGATTTACATAACAGAGATAAATGTAATGTAATACAGTATTAATTTTATTTCTTGTAAAACACCATATATCATAAACAACTTTCTTATAAAATTGTTTAATTTGCCGTAATCGAATTTTTATTTAAATTTTATCAACATGTTATTTTTACAATAATTAGGCAAGTTAAATCATTTTATAAGAAAGTTGTTAAAAAAAATTTTAAATGCTTTACAGCAAATCATATTAATACTATTCTTTTTGGACCAAGGATTATTATTGTAACTATGAGAATTTCTCATAGTTATTCTTTGCTATATTGTCTAAATACATTTAGTTGCCCTGTTATCAATATAATAATAAAAAATTAAGAATTAAATTAATTATTTAAAAGGTTATTTGGATTTTTTTTCTTCAAAATTTTGGAAAGATTATATAAAATAACACTCATCAATGTTTTTTTCTTATTTGCTTATATTAATCTTTAAATTATTGAGATCATATTTTAATTCATAAATAAATAATTAAATACGCTTGCCAATTACCATAATGTAAATTTGTATTAAGAATAAAATAAATTCACTCATCGATCGGCAGATTTTACCACAAACGTTTTTCGCATTCATACTAACTGAATTCAGGATTAGACTGATAAAAGGTGTCAATGGGGGTTCGGAGCTCCCCACAAAAAATAAATAAATTGAGTCACTATTTTTTTTATAAATTTTTTCTCCATAGATACACATCAAATATGAGTCCCATTCAATTAAAATAAATTTTTTGTATTAAAATAATTGCAAGGAATACAATATTGCATAAATGTAGAAAAACTATTTTTAAAAAATCATTATGAAAGTGTGAAACAATATTTTAGGTATAGAAATTAATTATTATATTCTTGTATATAACACGAGCGAGCTAAATTTTCTTAACTTATTGGTAAATTAGATAGACTGGTTTGTAATATTTAATTACGATGATAATTTTTTTTTGATTTTGAAAAACTCCTCTTTATTGTGGCTGCAGTAAACAGATCAAGTTTGAAATATCGAGTTATGCTGCTAATATAGAAACTCCCAGTTATTGACAAATGATCAATCGTGATAAACTTGGACAAATCACATTAAGTATTTTTTATTTCCGTCACTCGAAATTGAGAAATTTCTTCAGGAAATGATTTGTTTAAATCATGGTTATATTTTTTATATCAAAATGTTAACCTGGTTAAAATATTAGCTTCCAAAAGATTTTATAACCTTAAAAAATTAAAGATATTTTCAATAAGTTTTATGCTGGCGAATCATTTTTCTAGTTGATTAGTTATAGCATTTTAATAAATTCAATGTTTAAAATTAACCCTAAAATATTTATCTTGGTTAGTTAATTTTGCAACTGGACAGTTCGCCAAAATTCTACTTTAGAACTTTTCCCTTTTAAAATAACAAATTGGCAAAACATGTCTATTTCGTTACAAGCTCAAAACTACATTTAAAAATCGTTTGTAAAATACAATGCGTTAAGTTAGCATAAATCTATTTAAGTGAAAGGGCCGGGATAAAAACATTAAGTATTTCTTGAAAATGGTATTTACGAGAAAAGTCGTCATTATGTCTAAAGTCTTCTAAAATATTCAAAGGATAAATATGAATTAAAATATTTTTTAATTCGTTATCAGATTATAAATAATTTGTTGTTTAAATATAAATTAATCCTTATTTTTGGTAACTTTGGGTAGGAGAGACCATAGTCGGCGCAAGGGGCTTATTGGTTCAGATTGACATTTTTAGAAAATCAAATTTAATTATGCAATAGCATTTTATAATATGTATATTTGACGGAAAATATTTTTTACCCCTCAGCTATTTAAATTTTTTCATGATAAAATGTGTCTTTAGGTAAAAAATGTTTTTACACCACAATATTGTGTGGAATAAATATGAAGAGTTTAAAAATAATAATATTGCTATTATATGATATTTAAAACCCTCTTTTCGCATTTTAGAAAGTTTTAGTTATATATCATGTTTTTTTAGATGTTAATTATATTAGTAATTAGGGCTAGTAGACTCAGAACTAGTCGGATCAATCAAATTATACTTACAAATATGATATAATATAAAATAACTATTAATTGGCTACTATTATATATTTAAATCAATTCTATATGATAATGCAATAGAAATATGGAAACATAAAAAAAATTAAGTTTTACGCATTTTTTATAATTTAAATGATGTCATATTTTGTCATTTTATATGAATTATTATGTAATGGTATATATTTATATCAAACTTTGTCCATGAAAGTAATCGAATATAAATTTCCTATGAGAGACTTAATAAAATAATCGAATCTACAAGCGCCAGGTTTGGGGGGTTGGCGCAAAAAACACTTTTACTAGCAGTCTTGAGGAAAAAGAATGTAATATTTAAAAATTTATTAACGTATAAGATTAGGTAGATGTTTGGGCTATCTCATAATATTTTGTAAATTTAAATATAACAATTATTTTAGGACCTATGATGATTGACAAAACAGCACCGACTAGCCATGGTCCCTTATACATCCCTGTTAAAGCATGGAAAGCGGCTGAGCTTCCATTTTTTCTTGAAATCAAACTCATGGACGTGGTTGGTAATAATCAGTCAATAAATAGTGTGCGATTCTTCTGATAAAATAAGATTTCGAGTAAAAACATAGGACAGTGAACATAAAAATGATATTCATATAATAACTTTTCTAAGCTTGATAATTAAATTTCTAAGTTTTAAAAAAATAAAGCTCTATCATTGGATCGATCTTCCAACTAATATTTTAAAAATATAATTATTGGATTTAAAAATAAATGTTTTGAAATAAACTAGACACTATTGGCTATCCCCACGGTATTGCTTTCGCAATAATAAATATCCGTAATATACTATCTTCTTAATTTGGCTTTCGCGATAAGGACTTCATTCGCTATTTTTGCGGTAAGGGTCTCGCTATAAAAATTCACGTATAATATTCGTGAATGTGGATTCACTATAAAATCCATTCACGATAAAAGTTCCGCTGCATTGACATGGAACCTATTTTTTCAAACCAAATTATTTAGCACGCCTCACCCCATTGAAATATCCTGAAAAAAATAGAACAAAGTCCCGCATGATTTTATTTTTAACTTAAAATTTATTTGATATTTCAGGCAGATAATTCGATTAAGACAATTTAACCTTAATATATTAATTTTTTTATTAAGAGCAAAAACATGTGGTATAAGATAAGATCATAAAGATAAATAAAAATAAGAATCAGTAATTAATTATATGATTGATGATATTCTTGTGTATAATTATTGGCAAGATTTTGTATTTTATTTTTATACCTATTATTACATTACAAGGTCTTTATAAAGGAGAAATTTACTACTCAAATTTTAATTTATAAATAAATATAAAAATAGTCGAATAAAAATTGTTTTAGAACTGGTATATACTAAATATTCAGATATACCCGGAAATATTTTCTTCGCTTTCAAACATTATTTGAATAAATTATAAAAATTTTTATTATATCATGAATCATACCCAGAGTCATATTGTAAATCATTATGAAGATTTTTTACAACATTTCAATAATAAAGTAAGTCCCATATATAATAATAAAAATTTTGTCATAAATATATGGCCACGGTTAGATATAATTTGAACTTCTATGTAATCTTAATTTTTTAAATTTAATTATTTGTGATAAAACCACAATATTTTCTCGGAGTGTTGATGGTAATGAGCATCGTAAAAATCCAAAATTAAATAAAATTTTTTACTAATTATATTTAACTTATCTATATGTTAGGATAAGATCATCGAAATTGATGGAAATACATTGACGATCAAAGGTCTGTACAAACTAGGATACGAAGACTACAAAATAAAAGTTTACAATTTAACCACTTTTATTGAGTCATTATTAATGATATATCATTTTAAAAATTCTAGTTGTCGAAAACATCTGAAGAAAAGGTCCAAAAAGCAAGAAATGTAGTCGAGAATGTCATTAAAGATAATAAAGGCGAGTGCAAATATTAATAATATGTAATAATCATATAATATCGTTCATTATCTAGTCATCAGTTTTAACAAAATAATTAAAATTTGTCAATATAAATATGCTACTTTTCTATTAATTAATTTTAAAATAATGTAAAACTTTGTTATAAAATTGTTTAACTTGCTGTAATTGTAAAAATTACATAATGATAAAATTTAAAAAAACAATTACAACGCAATTCAATCAATTTTATAAGAAAGTTGTTACAAATATATGGAAATGTTTTACTATTTCTTTTGGAACGCCTTTTACCAGTTAATTTACTATATAAAAATTAGTTTTTAAACAATAAACTCATGAAATTATATTATTTAGGTAAAGAAAGAAAGAAAGAAATCAAAAGTTGACAATTTAATTAGTTGCTTTGTTGTTAAATATTTTTCTCCAAGTCAATGACAATTATAGAGAGGGGAGGCAAAATATTCTCAGCACTAGGACTAGTGTTGTTAAACTCCTCGATTTGAGGCGATTTTAAAAATGGTGAACTCAATATTTATCCAAAAAAAATACGCACTGAAGATTTTGGCCATATATGGTACAAAGGTTTGGACATCTATTAGCTAAATCCCAAGGCTTAGGCAATATTTTTCTGGCTAAAATATTGAGTTGGCCTTTTTTAAAAATCGATCGAGCCGTTTAACAACTCTCACAATAGTATCTACAATATTTAAACAAAAATTTAGGTTTTTATTGCCTTCGACTACCTTCTAGTTCATTTTTAAGAATTCAAAATATATGTTCTATAGTGATTTTTAGTATTAAAACAAAAATAGAAATAAGTAAAGTGCATTTTAAATATTTGATCATCTGATGTCAAAATGTATTTTGTAAAAGAATATCAAAAAATGGTTTCCGTGCTATTCTGAATCGAATTAAAAATAAAATCGAGCTAAGTTTAATTGATCTTAAGAATATTATTAGAAGAGATGGAAACTATACCCATTGTCCCCGATCAGAAATGTTTCCCGTTTTTGGATATTCAGATATGGAAACATCTTATTTTTTTGGCCTGGAACGTTTTCGATTTAATATTTTACTTTTATTTTTCATTAAGTTGACTGGTCTTTTTTTACTCATTTATTTATATTTATTTTCAATGAAAATATCTGATTTAAATCCCTTATTTTTAAAAAAAGAAAGGATGACTGTTAAAATTTTAATTTATAAAAATATATACAAATTTAATTTTTTTTTAAATATTTGTTTAGACATTCTGTATATGTCTTAGGGGTTTAGCAAATTCAGGATTACGTTTTATAAACCCGGGTTTCTAGCGAATTTGTTATAGACCTGCTAAAATAAATTTTTATTTAAACTCACAAACATTTATTTAAAAAAAATTATTACAATTGAAACAAATCATCTCAATATATATGCTTAAAATAAAAAATATTCCTAATTTTAATCAATTTTTGATTAACATCTTTCTCAAGGAGTATCTTGTTTATTTTTTTTTATTTAACCTATTTAAGATTAAATATTCTTTATTCGGTTATTTACGAATACGAATAAGGAAAATATATTTCGCCGAATAATTTTTTATCCCATATTCGATCAAATTATTCGCATTATTTAAAATTATTCTTAAATATTCAGAATTATTTGTAAATATTTAATATTACTCTACTCGCAACAAATATTCGTAAATATTCAAAATTATTCTATCATTATTTGTATAAATATTCAAATAAATAATTCAGAAAATTATTCACAAAATTTTTTCCATATCTATAAATCTTTTTTCTAAATTTGAATGATTTTTTTTTCATTTTTGAAAACATTTTTAAAAAATTTAATTTTATAATCGAATAAAGTTTTTATTTTTCGAAAGGATAAATAAAAAGGAATTATTTGATTTGAAAATACGAAATGAATATGAATAATGTAAATATTCTATTATTTTTGTCAAATCAAAAATAAAAAAAAAATAAAATCCATATCATAATTAGCAAAAATAAGAAAATCAAAAGTATCTCTTCCCCATAACCCCACCCCTCTCCCTTCTCATTTTATTCAAATCATAGCTAACTACCACCCTCCCTTCAATTTCAATGATAATCTTGCGTCATACCATCCCTCATCCCAGAATAGAAGTCCCTGCTATCAATACCAATATTATATGTATTTTAATAGTATGTAAACTAGCCCTACTCTTAATGCTTTAAGATACAATAGTCCTAAGATGTAATAAAAAAGCTGCTGAATTGTTTCCTCACATTTTTACAAAAAAAACTTAGTCACTTATTCTATTTGATAGATAGTTTAGGTGATTTACTAAGAATTTTATCTGGATGACAAAACACTAGTCTGGGTTTAATTTTTGGAACCTCCTCGACCGAACGCAGCAATATTTCCCCAATATGAATTCTTTATTATGTGGAACATTTTGAAATTTCTTTCGATCATAAACTTTATGTTATATTTTATTTTTAAAAGTACGGAATTAAACTTTTAGAATGGGGAGGTCAAAATTTTCAAATGATTTAGAGAATGTAATATATGGTAGAATGGATGATTGAAGTGTTATATCAGTCAGAGAGACAAATCAATTTACATTTTACAGTATGTTAAAAAAATTATGAAAGGTAAGCAAATAATGTGGTGAGAATCTCTGTAATTTATAAGCTTAAATTATTTGAATATTAATTGTAATTTATATGCAAATTTTTTAACACTATTTAATACACTGAAATTCCAATGTTCATATAAAATAACCAATTTTCTGGAGAACTAAGAGATTCTAAAAAAAGGTTCAAACAGAACAAGTTAAACCGGTATTAACCGTTATTATTTACCGAACCTGAATCGCCGGGGTGGCCTAATGGGTAAGATGTACGATTGGAAACACGAGTATGAACAAAGACGCAGGTTCAATCCTGGTAAGGAACAAAAAACTTTCAAGTTTTTCTTCGATGACTGATGTGTAAAGACATATGGTATGATGAATTTCGGAGCTTAGAGATGACACCCCGGTCACCGACAGGCTTGGACAGCCGGGTGCTAAGGATACCTGTCCAATAAACAAAATGACAGAAATAAATGGAAATAAGAATATGAAAGTTAGGGCGTTCCCTCCATGCGACGCGCAGGGTGTAGACCTCCATCCTGTGAAAAATAAAGTAAAGGTCAAAGCAAAGAAGACAAGACTGGCAAGTTTGAATATTGGGACGCTTAAAGGTAAGACGAGAGAATTGGCATTAATGTGAACAAGAGAAAAGTTGATATAGCGTGCATACAAGAGACGAAATGGAAAGGACAGAAGACTTTGATGATTGGAGATGGGTATAAATTGTACTAGAATGGGCTTGTTAGCAATAGGAACGGTGTCGGCATCATCCTCAGTCAAGATCTAACCTCCTCAGTTGTAGAAGTCAACAGGATCTCTGATAGACTAATGAAGATAAAACTCTGCATTGGTCAATCAATACTACACATCCTTTTAGTATATGCTTCTCAAACGGGTTGCAAGAAAGAAGAGAAAGATGACTTTAGAGCTATCCTTGATGAAGCTGTAATGGAAATCCCTAAGGATTACCTAGTCATAATTGGTGGTGACTTAAATGCGCATGTGGGGAAAGCAAGAGATAGCTACAAAAGGCATCATGGTGGTTTTGGATACGGAGAAAGAAATGATGAAGGAGAGCATATACTGAAATTTGGGCAAGCCTTCGACCTTGCCTTAACCAACACCTACTATAGGAAAAAAGACAGTCAATAACATACGAAAGTGGTTTAAGGAAAACACAGATAGATTACATGCTAATCTCTCGCAGAAGATTAAAAGATGTAATAGACTGCAAAGTCATCCCAGGAGAAGATATCGCCGCGCAACACAAGCTACTAATCATGGATTTACAAATCTCAAATAAATCCACTCAAAATAAGATAAAACTGGAACCATGCATCAAATGGGGCAAATTAAAAACAATGACAGATGCCTTTGCAATCAATGCAAACATTGAAACAATAAATTCCTCACAAGTCAGTGAAAAAATCTGGACAGACCTTTCATCCAGATTAATAGACACTGCCAAATCGACACTAGGCTTGACAAGAGGAGGCAACAAATCATACAAAGAACTATGGTGGTGGAATGAAGAGGTACAAACCACTATACAGGAGAAAAAAGCCCTTTATAAAATATGGTACAAATCCAAAAACGCAGATGACAAGACAAGATACAAAAAATCCAAAAGATTAGCTACAAAAGCGGTGGCTAGAGCCAAATCTATGGCATACGATGACATGTACGAAGATCTACATACCAAAGAAGGGCAAAATAAAATATACAGATTAGCCAAACAGCGAGAAAAGAACTCTAGGGATTAATGTCACATTGTCTAAAACTATACGAAAAAATAATAGAAAAAAGATTAAGAGATATAATCGAAATAGGAGAGACACAGTTTGGCTTTATGCCTGGAAGATCAACAACCGATGCTATCCATGCAATTAGGCAAATGAGTGAAAAATACAGGGAAAAGAACAAAAAGCTACACATGGTCTTTCTCGATCTAGAAAAGGCCTTCGATAGAATCCCAAGAAAACTTATCTGGTGGGCGCTACGCCAGAAAAAGGTTCCCGAAAAATATATAAGAATAATACAGGATATGTATATGGGCACAACAGGTCCGTAGCACAACAGGTACTTCAGCAGGCTTCACAATAGCCGAAGGAGTTCATCAAGGGTCGGCTCTCAGCCCACTTCTCTTCATTACAGTAATAGATGTATTAGCACAGTCTATACCTCAAACAGTCCCGTGGAATATGATATTTGCAGATGATATTGTGATACTTGCCGAATCCAAGGATGAAATGAAAGAAAGGAGTGAGTTGGATAAATACCCTAGAAACGCACGGATTAAAAGTAAATAGAGAAAAGACGGAGTATATGGTGATAGGAGGAGATGAAACAGAGAGTATTGATATAAATGAATGGCAGATATCCGCAATTGAAAGCAGCAAATATTTGGGCTCCACTATATAAACAAACGGCACAATAGAAAAAGAGATAAAGAGTAAGATTAATCAAGGGTGGTTAAAGTGGAGATCTTTATCTGGAGTGCTATTTGACAAAAGGATCCCACACAAATTAAAGGGAAAAATTTACAGTTCCATAACACCAGCTATTCTATATAGTTCGGAAACATGGCCAACCAAAGAATCAGACGAGGGAAGTCTATATGCTGAGGATGATTGCTGGGGTAACAAGAAAGGATAAGGTGCGCAGTACAAGAATACTAAATAGTTTAAAGGTAGTGCCCATTAAGACTAAGTTAATGGTAAATAGACTTAGGTGGTATGGGCACACAATGAGAAGGCCTATGAACTACATAGGAAATAAAGTTGAAAGTTTGGAAGTGATGGGCAAACGTAAAAGAGGAAGGCCAAAACTTCAATGGGGCCATAAAGTTAGAGCCAATATAAAGAAGTATAAAATAGATAAAAGAGATTGTATGAATAACATAAAGTGGAGAGATGTTGAAGGAGCTTACCACCAGAAAAGGTGAAAGCTAAAAGCAAAAAAAAAAAAAAAAAATTTACCGAACCTGAGCCGTTAAATATTTGTCACCCAAACTAGAACTTAATCTTTAAAACGTCTAACCAGTTTTGACCTTTTGATATTTTAACTCTTTTAAAGATGATCAATGATCAGTTTTGACAGATAAGTATTCGTAATTATTTTTAGATGGGTATTTGACGGTGGCAGCTACCCAATTTAGGATATAGAATTTTCAGTAATCAACTTATTTGGGGGTGTGTAAGGTTGAAATTAAATTGGAGAGAGGAGTTTCTCAATATCAGGGTGGGGTTTAGTTAATCAGCATAATACGGAAGCTAGCTCTTATCACAGCTCTCATTTTGCGATATAGCTCCGAAGCGTAATTCATCGCTGAACGATAGCATAATCGTATTATTTAACATTACCTGTTTTGTAAATTACGCATCGCTTGAGCGGCATCGAAGACACTAGTCGTGATAATGAGTCAATATATGAGCGTGATAGAAAAAAACGCTATACTTAAAATAAGAAATATTTAGTTCTAACTCAAATTAAATTTAATCCCGCTGAGCACTTTTGTCATATTCCTACTGACTAAACCCTCCTCTCTGCACATCTTAGGATTATATTGACATTTTCACTTCAATGTTTTCAATAGACTATACAAAGTTTAATAAATAGTTGATGAATATTTTTTAAAGAAAAATTTATTTTTATTTTGTAGTGGTATATGCGATAACGACAGGTATAGGAAAATTTGCTACAACAACCATACCCAAGGAAAATTTAAAGTCTTAATTTGATACTATAATATAAATATAGATAATTTTTATGAGAAGAAATAAAGTATTAAAATCATATTTGATAGAGGCAGTTTACATAAAATATACTGGGGTGAATTTCATTATTTGACCTCCACAGGGTAGGGACTAGTGACTAGCGAATGAGTATAATGACAATTTTTGAATATTTTTTTAAGAGTTTTAAATACTCATGTCTATATATATTTTTTAATATTTAAAATATATATAGTATGTTACAACTCAACATAATCAGATCCCATTCCGCAGGTTTAAAACAAAATATCGATAAGGTTTTTCAGAAATAAAATAAATTAATATTTATTATAAAATATTTATATTTTGTATCTCATTAAATCAATTAAAGGTGTTGGCGATCCATTAAGCATAGCTAACACTAAAATGTTGTTCGCGCTAAGAATCAATGTGCTTGCCAAGGGCTATAGCGGCATAACCTTAGAAACTTTAGAGAAATATATTGATGCTTTTAATAGTAAGTTTGTAATTGTATATTAATAATATGGTAATTATTTCTATGCAAATATCCCCAATTTTTTCGAATAGCCATTTATTTTAATTATAGAAGGTCAAACATCCATCCCGAACGGGATGTCATCTTGTCCAAGATATAGAGACTTGGAACGCGCTTCATCCAATGCCTAGCATCTTGGGGCACGTTCAGGTATGCAAAGCGTTTTTAAGACACGTCCCGGTATAGCGTGTTTTTAGGACACCTTCCGGTATAGCATCTTTGGAGCGCCTTCCATTTTTTTATAGTCATCAGACCTAAAAGACGAAATCATTTTATTTATAAATATAAAAATATATTTTAAAAAGTCAACGGCTTAATTTATAAAAACCGAAAATTTCATTAATAAAAGTTAGATGTGCCTATCATTTTTTGAATAAAATAATTTATTCATACAATAATATCTTCTCACATTTTATAAATGCAAGAAGACATTCATGAGAATGATCTTCTAGAAATAAAGAAAATAGATGGCGCCCGTATCCAAACCTTTTACAATCCCAAGATTAAAATAAATTAAGACAAACCTTGGATAAGGTCCCGGAATTTTTCATGAAATGGGGGGTCATTTTATTTAGAGTGCCCAATATACTTTGGAGGTTATATTTTTTCATAAATCAATACAAAAAAATTGAAGGCCAATTTTGGGTCCTAAAAAACTTTGGGTCGTAGCTACTGAGCTGCCCTGGATTCTTGGACTAAAAATTAACCTAGTACTAGAATATAAAATTAATATTGACCTCTGCTGGTTACTGATATGGGAAAAAAATATAGTTACTAATAGTAACTTACTATTAATATATTATTATGATGGAAATATTTGGACGTGAACGCGTCCAGTCTAAGTGGAGCTCTATGTGATGCCTTCCTTTAAAAATTAGAAACGGGAACTGATGATTACCTTCACTTTGTAATTTATAGATGTAAAAGTAAAATAAAAAATCACGATTAATATTTGACTCAACTTGACATTTAGCTACATATAATTTATGCATATAGGTTAATTGGATTATTTTTGGCATGGATTTCCTTCCCCCCCCCCTTCTCCTCCAAGTTTTTGATTAGAAGTATTTATTATAAATATATACCATTCGAAAGAAATAATTTTTACTACAAATTTAATAATATAACACTTTGTTGACCATAGAATTACAATACTATTCTGTGTTACAATTAAACTGATACCCCCTTTTTTAGCAATAAATCTGTCAATTTATAATATTTTATAGATAGAGAGAGGGATAAATTATAAATGATTTCCACAAATTCTATTAACAAAGTCAAAGATTCAAGCTGATGTTCAAAATACTCGACATTAGCTCTAATACATGCTCTAAGGCGATCTCGCCATTAATTGATTGCACAATCAACAATTCTTTGATCAAAACGATTCCATTCTACACTGGTTCAGATGGTCAACATCACATATGCGGGTTTTATAAACATTTTTGAAGGAAGCACCATATATTGGAGTCGACCGAAATGAAATCAGGGCTTGGTGGGCAAATGAATGGGTGAAATAAAATTTAGAGTTTCTCTAGAAAGCAGGTCCACATGGTTTGATGAGCTGGAGCACTGTCCTGCTGGAATTTGAAAACCCGATAGTTCTTTAATAAGACAATAAGTGCTGGCCGAGCAAAACGTCACGATATAAGTACCATTAATTTTTAGTTCAGGATCAATAAAGATGAACTCTGTGCAGCCAAGACTAGATACCATTACGAATTTAGAGAAATTTGGACGAGTACGAAGCAATAGATTGACTACAGCTTGTTTATTTCTCATTGAAACTGTAAAGTACTCCCTATCGTTTGCAGATTTACCTGTGGACTTATTGTAAACAGTTCTTCATCCGTGAACCATATAAAATAAATTAACCTCTGATGAGTAGGTAGCAGACGGGCAATTTTATTCACATCAGTTATGATCTGGGCTTATTTCATTTTTAGACATTTCAGCTACTGCAGCGCTTTGCCGATAATTCAATGCGCTGAAGTTTAAGAAATATCAGTTTCCCGGAATACTTGACAAATTGTTCTGTTAGTGACAGGGTTTTCTTGGCTCAATACGAGTGATTTCTCAGAGCCAACATTTTCTGTAGAACTAGCTGTGCGTGGTCTATCACCATCATACCGTTTTTCTGCTAATCCGGTAGCATCAATTTTTACAATCAATCTATTCAAGGTCCCCGGCTCTGTTAGATTTTTCTTGTTTAAAAATTTATTTAAACTCAAGTCACCTTTACTGAAAACAATTTTTTTTTAAATTATATGCTTTAATGTAAATTTTAATAAAAAATAAATTTTTATATGTTTCTAAGTTCGAATTTGTTTATCTTTCTCTCAATCTATGAATTTTATTTGATTCCATTCGGAATTGACTGATTTACTGCTTAAATATAAAGGGCATCAGTTCAATTGGAATACAATCTATGTTTGAAAAAATAACAAATATATTATGTTAAAAAAATTAGGGAATCTTTTACCATACGTTCCAGAACAAGGTACCGTGGGAGCTAGTGGTGATTTATGCCCGTTAGCGCATTTAGCTTTAGGTTTGATAGGAGAAGGTCTGATGTGGAACTTTAAAGAGAATCGTTGGTCCGAAGCAATTGATGTTATCTAATCTTTAAGGATAAAATATTTAAAAAAGAGTCTTATTAATTAATTAGAGATATGGTGTCCATTATTTTCATTTCAAAAATGATTGGTAAATTCTATGCGCATTTTTATGAACATAACCAGAGTTTGAAACAAATCTTCAAAAAGATTTTGAGCAAAAATCTTTTAGGATTTTTTAAAAAAAATTTTGATTTCTTCTTGAAAGATTTTTTATGCAAGAGAATTACAAAAAAAAATTTTAAAAGATTTTAGCAGGTAAAATTTGAAAAAATTTCTCTACTTTCTTAAAATATTTTTGAAGTTTTTTTTTCAAACTTTGTGTACATAACTATTATTTTATTAGAATTTGAAGTATATTATCCTGATTGTTATGTTCTATCCCCCCCCCCTTATTTCTTTTATTTTTGTTTCTCCGTTTTCCCATCTTCCTTTATTTTGTTATGAAATTAATATATTATACCTTATTTTTATATTGCATTTGAAACTGGTTCTTACCAGTTTCATGAATGATTATATCGCGATTAATTAACAACTTTTTTTTCCCCTTTTGTTTTAAAAATTATAAAGGTGGAAAACAAAATATCATTAATTATTAAATATTTTTCGTGCGTTTTAAATAGAATTTCTTTTTTTTGTTATAATTTCACTTATTCGAATAAACTTTGAAACTTACGTTGTCCAAGTGATTCCATGACTAAATCGATAAAACCCGGCCCCCTGGATCTAGTCATTGACCATCCCGGACCCCCGATCACGGACTGTATTAATCCCATTCAGACTGGGGGACCCATCGGTCCAAACTCAACACTGATATATCCAAACTTGAGATGATTTTTAATCATTATGAAAAGATAAAGATATATTAATTATTAATTTACATTCCATGTTTTCTCAAATAGATATTGAAAGAGAACGACTATGAACCAATCCAATTAAAAACCAAAGAAGTAAATACTATCAAATATTATATATTAGAGCCCCTGATATACCTATATTTATATATAAAAGGGCATCGCGTTGATAAATGGAACATGTTTTATTGCTGCCTTAGGATGCGAAGGTATTAGATTCTTTAAAATAACAAGATATAAAAATAGTATATGCCATTTGAGACTAAAAAAATTTTTACAGCACTTTATAGGGCAGAAAAATTGGCGATTCAGGCCACAATCATATCTGCAATAACATTAGAATGTTTGAAAGGATCCTATAAGGCTTTCAGTGCAAGTAAGTTTATTAAAAATATAATGCACTTAAATATATCATAATATATTATTTTTATAATTTAATTATCATGATAAAGATATTCAAGATTTGAGGCCTTACCATGGTCAAAAGATGATAGCAAGTTTACTAAGAGATCTTCTAATATCTGAAAATAATCCATCTCTAATAGGAAGTATATGCTCATATTCATATGATTAACTATAAAATTATCTCTTTTTAATATCTTGATTCTTTAAAGTTAGTCATACCTCTTGTAAAAAAGTGCAAGATTCTTATACACTCCGTTGCATTCCTCAGGTTATTTTTGAGCGTTAAATATTTTTTAAAATGCGTGATTAGGTTCATGGAATTGTTATAGATACAATAAATTTCGTCAAAAATATCTTGACCATTGAAATCAATTGTGGAACTGATAACCCTGTAACAAACAACTTAAAAACGTTTAATAAATAATTTTTTTTCTTACAGCTCGTGCTACCGGATACCGGAGAAATTATATCTGGTGGAAATTTTCATGGTGAATACCCAGCAAAGGTAAATTTTTTAAGAAAAAATACAGATTCAATTAGAATTTTGATAAAGTGAAAATTCGACACAGAACTATATAGAATTTCTTCCAAAATCTTGTATTCTTAGAATAAATGACAATTAATTACTTTTAATAAAAGACAAGATATAAAAACATCGAATTATGGAATATTTGATTCTTTTCATAATTTTTAATTAAATATACGGATAAAATATCAATAATATATTAACCGGCGATTACTGCGAAAGGATATTTCAGCGAATGTTATACTGCGACTGTAATATAAATTTTTAAGCGATTGCAAAAGCGCTTTTATTTTTTGATAAATTTATTTACTTTAACCTATAATGAATCTATTTACTTTTTGCATGATAAATTTAGGCTCCTATTTAATCGCTTCAGTAATAAAACTGACATGCTCAGAAAAAAACCGTTAAATGCTCATAATAAATAAATAATGCTCAAAATTATTTCTTAAGCTCAGATAAAAAACAATTATTGAGAAAAAATACGAATTACTCAGTTATATAACTGAAATACTCCGATTAAAATGAATCGCTAGTAAAATGTATGGAACGCTCAGAACTAGTCACATAATTTCTCAGAAATATTTTCTCTTAGTAATATTGATTTAAAGAATTTGTAAAGATTCAAAATTTTCACTAAATATATTGACCCCTTCCGGTTCCCATGGACTTCTGCACCCAATTTCAATGACGATTACGTCATACCCCTCTCTGTAGCTGCTTTCAATCGTTAATTCAACAGCATTAATATTGGAGGTCTGCAATGGACTGGTTTTTGAATTGAAGGCCCTTTCGCCTAATTGTTTTTAAAAATTAAACTCGCTCTTCCGCCTGCACATAGTTTTTTTAAACCGCCCGCTCTTTCATCTATTTGTTTAACCAACCTAAAAATTATTTGAGACTTGGTTAGTTTAACTCTTTATTTATTCCTATTTTAATATTTTTATCTAAACTTAATGAATATGCAATATTATAAAAAATATTTTTCTGATTATTTTAAATTTACCAGACCGCTCGTTTATTATTTTAAAAATGGGTTAAAATCCCGTCCATTGCAGACCTTTAATTTATATAATTGTTTATCAATATTAACCGGTTTATATTATGAGTAATTACAAAACAATTTTAATGAATAGCTTGATTTGTTATTTATTTTGAAACAAAGGCTTTGGATTATCTGGCAATAGCTATCCATGAAATATCAAGTATAAGCGAGAGAAGAATAGAAAGACTAGTTAATACAGGTGGTTTATTTATATTTGATCTAGTATTTATATATATATATATGCATATACCCCCTAGAATCGTGCCTAGAGTCAAGTTTTTTTGGTTAATTATTTATATTTAGTATCGAAGCCTATATACCCAATTAATAAAACATTATTCATTTTTATATATAACAATAAAAAATTGATTCTGTGTGACAAATTGTATTTTGGTTTTTTCTTTGAATAATTAAAGTCTCATTAGAATATTCAAGAGGGAGGGGGTGAGCGAGGATTGGTTATCTTCTTTAGCAACTATTTCATTAAAAAATAAATAGTCATTTTGAAAATGTTAATTAAAAAAAAGAAAGGCAAAAATAGCAAAAAAATTAATTTTGAGCCCCCTGAGATTGTAAGGACTAGTGATGCCCTTGACACAGCCATCTATAATGATTGTATTTATATATAGATTTAAGTCATTTACCACCATTTTTGGCACCAGATGGAGGTCTTAACAGTGGATTCATGATGGCACACGTAACTGCAGCTTCATTGGGTAACAATCATTAAATAATGGGTTTGGTAATTATACTATTGAATAAGATAAAAAGTTTTGATTAAATCTCTTACAATATACTTATAGGATTTCAAATTTAAATAACTTAATGTGCAATATAAGAAAATCCATTTTTTATAATGTGTCCCGATTGAACTGATACCCTTCTTTGTAATATACCTGGCAATTTTAAAAATAATACAATAAAATTTTATAGTTTGACAGAATGATAAATTACCAATGTCTTCTAAAAATTTTATCAAATTCTATAAACAGTAAAGTTATGCACATTCAGAGTTGGTCAAACATAATTCGAACTTACCACATGTAAAATTTATTCTTTATTAAATTTAACCAGATAATAACAAGAAAACATCAACATTTAAGATTAATTTGAGTCAAATGTTGCTCAAAATGCCCTCTATTAGCTCGAATACATCAAGTTGCTGTTTGCATCGCTTATGCGGGTTTGGTAAACATGTTCTTGAAGGAGGTTGCATATTTTGTAACCGAGCGAATTAAGATCAAGGCCATAGTATGCATAAATAATTATGACCCTTGAATCGTTAGAGATGCCCCTGTGAAGCTAGACTTGATGCCCTGACTGAAACCATGGCGGATTAAGAGAAATTTGAGCGAGTACGAAGTAATCGATTGGCCGCGACTTGTTTTTCTCCGATTAGGTCCTGGGCTTATTTCTCTTTTAAAAATTTTAGCTCAGCTCTTTGTGGATACCGATGCACTGAAGGCGAAATACCAATTTATCGGGATACTTAACTCATTGTTCTGTGGGTGCTAAGGCGGTCGTCTTGGCTCAATACGAATGTTTCAACAGAATCAACATTTCCCATGGTACAAGCTGTGCTGGTCTACCACCACCATACTATTTTTCTGCCTTTCGGATAAGTTTTTCAATTAATCAATTCACAGCTTTGATAGACTAGTTTCTGTCAGGAAATTCCTTCAAAAATCTTTTGGCTCCTTAATGTTATCTTGTTATAAAATTTTAATCAAACTCAAGCCATATTTAGCAAACCATTTTGTTTTATTCGTCTGCTTAAATAGAAATGAAATGATTATTATGACATATTTTTTTAGTAAGTATATAGTTTGCAAAAAAGTATTTTTTAACATTTTATGTTGGAAATTTCGAATTTTGTTTGTTCAATTTTGAATATGTTTAACTTTGGACCCTGTTGGTAGAATTTAATGAAATATGCTGAAAACATTGATAATTTCTCCTTCTGTTAATCTACAAATTATTAAATTATTTTTCGAATTGACAGATTTATTGCCATACCAACATCAGATCAATTAGGACACCGATCAATTGGGACACAGTGTATAAATACATCCATTTTTTTAAATATATTTAGTTTCAGAAAACAAGGTTTTATGCCACCCATCATCTGTCGATTCGCTTTCCACGAGTGCATCTAAAGAAGACCACGTGTCAATGGGCGGATTTTCGGCTAGAAAAGCTCTAAAAATTGTGGCTAATGTGGAAAATGGTATCAATTCTTTTAAAATATTAATGCTCTTAAAATTATATTTTTTAAATAACGTTAGAGATAGGGTGGCCAAACAGTCAAGACCCCCCCCCCCCCGAAAGATGGTCCATTGTTTTTTTATAATGACGCAGCTATATTTTAACATGAGTCACCTAAGACTAGACCCTCTTTAATTTTATTTTTAAAAAACAAATAATAAAATTAAAATACCCTCCTTAAAAATTTTGTGACACTTTTACCTTAAACCTCTCCTTTCGTTGTAGTGATCCCTGGTTGATTCCAGTCTTAATATATCCTGAGAATTTTATAACGATATTATTTCACCAATTATTTTTATTTTCTATCTTGGGATTCATGGTTTCACTATAATCATTTTAATGTAGTATTAGCGATAGAGTTATTGGCCTGTTGTCAAGCCTTAGAATTTTTGCGCCCTTTGAAATCGACTACACCAATTGAGGCTGTGCATTCTTTCGTCCGCCAACATATAAAGTATTTATAGATATACTAAAAAAATGGATACATAATTGTTATATGCTCGATATTTGTTAAAGGCTAATGTTGATATAACTATATTTAATAAATAAATTTCCTTCAAAATGATATAATTATATTAATTATATACCATGTTTATAAATTTAATTTTATACATCTAAAAATATTAAATTGTTTTATATTATTACAGGAAACTTGATATGGATCGTCCTATGTGGAAAGATATAGAAATTGCTAGAAACATACTAAGAAGAGGAGAAGTAATTATAATATTGTATATGCTCATAATGTCATGGCCTAAAAAATTTATAATTTAATTTGTACATCAATTACAGTAGCTATTATAAGAAATTGTATTTATTTTTCCTCGAGGATTTTTTTTATTTAATTTTTTAGCTTCCAGATTTTTTATTCATATTTTTTATCCAAAAGATTTTGTTTATTTATATTTTTCTGTTCCATAACTTTGGTATAGACTTCAAACGATTTATAAATAGTAAGAAGTTGCTAATTTTTTCATAAGCTACAAATAAAATATTAAAACATTTGATGATGGGAATAGTTTTATTATTTATTTTGATCAATATTTTGCGTGAGCATAAGCAAAAACGGGTACAGCTGGATGGACAATAGATAAACATATGGCTCAAATGATGCTTAGTCATTTTTTATTTGGCAGGCTGCAATGGCAACGTATGCTACTCCTTTGATATTTGTAGCATTTAATGTACGCTAAAAAATTGTGCCATACTTTAGTGCTTCGTTAGTTTAGTGCTTCAATATAGTATAGTAGCCGAAGGTAAGGAAATAATGTTGGAAACAAAAATAAACATTTTGTTTAACATCAAGTCTAAAAGTTGATCACTCACGATGGAACATATATCATTCTTTAGTGTTTCATTAGTAGAGATTAGTGCTTTAAATCACTTTAATAGCCGAAATTAAAAATTAAGAGTAATTTGCGAGAAAAAAACAACATAAACAAAAAATGGCGATGTGCCAAAACAAAAACTATATAGGCACTAAATATTATTTTCGACAATACTTAGTAATTAATATATTTAAATTCCGCTATTAATTTGGTAAACCACCTTATAAAAAAAGTTATAAAATAAATATTATGACGTCACGATTTAAGCACTAATGATGAAACTTATATCATTCGTTAGTAAATTTTAGTGCTTCAATCAGTTTAATAGCTTATTAAGTCATTGAAATTGATTTCACACATTTATTACAATTTTATACCTCTTTATTCATCATCTACATATATATACAGTAAAACTTGCATAATTTTAGCTCTTGGTAATGGGCAACTCTTTCATTTGACCGAAATTTTGAGTCCTTATCAAATTCCTATTAACTAGTATCTTGCTTAACTTCGGTTACTATACTGATTAAAGCACTAATAAGCACTAACGAAGCATTAAAAAATAGCATAAGATTCATCTTTAGTGCTTCCAATCGTTCGGCCAACTTCACGAAGCTAAAAGAATTAAATTCAAAAATTTGTCTATTTTTTTATCCAAATCATCCTTCTTCCATATAATAAATTTAGTTGTAATTGTGGTTGGAATGCTTTATAAGAAAACACTAAAATTTGTAAAATATAATTATATTATTTTTTGTCATTCATAACCCGCAAATATTATATACTTATATAATATAATATCGGTAAAAATATTAATTTTTTTTAATTATATCGTGCATCTTAGTTAGTACAAATAAACACAACTGTTAAAATTCATATTTTTTAAAAGGTTATAAAAAAAATTTTTTCTACCAAAACATTCGAAAAAAAATTGTAAATTTTCTCATGGTTTTTAAATTTAGAAACCCATAATAAATTTGTAAATCAAATTCATTTAAAACCAATACTGGGTAATTCGCAATAAAATAATATTTTCATAGGAAAAATATGGCATACATTTTTTAAAAATTATTTAGTTCAATCTGATATAATATAAAAGAGGTTATTTCTATTTATAAGTCAAATTAAAAAATACTATATACTAATTTATAATGTTAAAATGCTATTATATAATTGTGCTAAATAGAACATTTATCTAAAATAACATTAGATATGTTCATTTAAAATAAGGAAATAATTACACTAAAAATAAAATAATAAAATTAACCACACTTGAAGAATCCCCTTAACTTTTACTCTCAGGAATCAATCAAGTTAGTTTTTTAGAATCAATAATTATTAGCCTAGGGATAAGTTTTATTTTATGAATAATAGATAATGAATATAGTTTACTTGATGGTTATAAGTTATGCTTTAAAGCGTTCTAGAATTCACGATAGTAATATAGTTTTATTCCCATAAACCTAAAGAGGCCAACAGACTAGATAAATTTTGAATCTGGCTTTAGGTTGAGAGATTGGATAAGTTTGAATTTTACTATTTTACATTATTTTTAAATATTTTGGACTACACATGGGTCCAAAGCTGAGTATTTGACCTAACCTCATTTTGATTTTTCCAATTCTACATGTTTTTAATTTACTTGGACTTAATAAGTTCAATATCTTTGCTAGTGTGGAGGCAGGAGGCATAAGCAGGATCAGCATGTATTGATTTAATTTAATCACCTCTATAATATTCTCTATTTGGAAAAAGCATTTTTAAAATTGTTTTTTATTCTCATTCATTAAAATATGTTTCTTCTTTCTCTTATTTTTCAATTTCATTTCAATCATCGTTAACCTTATATTACTATTGGGGATAGTGGCGTAGCTAGGAATTTTCCTTAGAAGGGGTCCATACATATAAAAGCCTGGGGGCTTCGCCCCCAGACCCCCTTTAACGGACCTTCGGCCGGGTTTATCTTACAAATTAAAACCATATCTTCGATAATATATAATAAATATATTTTTTAAATGCATCAATAATAAGTTATTATAATTTAGTAGATTATTCTCAATGACTTTATAATAATACTATCCGGAATAATTTCAATAGTAATATAATATCCTTCCATAAATATCAAAACTAGAAAAATATAAATATTAATGATATTTATTTGATATAAAGTCACTTTTAAGACTTTTGAGCGTATAATCTAAAAAAAAATTTTGCTCTTGGATGGGTCCAAACCCGAAAACCACCCCCCGTAGCTACGCCACTGATTGGGGAGAAGCATTTGAATATTTGAAAACACTAATAAATAAAAAGTTTAGGAAATATTTTTCGAATATTTAAAATCACACCATGCATATTAAAAAAATATATACTTTTACACTTAAATTATATGAACTAGTGACAATAATACTATTTTTAAATTTCAAAAAGCAGATTTTTGTGAATAAGTAAATTTGAAATATTTTGCGTGGTTTAAGGAATATGATTATAAAAAATAGTTATTATACCTTTAATTTTCAATGAAAGGGAAAATTTTATTAGGTAAATAAATATGGGTTTAATATAATATAATATACAGTTCTATATTTATTTTAGATTTTAGATCTGATGAAACCATTGCTGAAAAGTTATAACGATTTTGATCTCGACTATCAAAAATATCTTGAAAATAGATAAAATAATATTACGAGTTATTTTATTTTTCCGATTTAATTTATTGTCATCTAAATAACTATCCATATTTTTATATTGTAAGAATATCATTTTTGTAAATAAAAAATTAAATTTTCGCATTCTGAAATAAGTTTTCTTAACAACGTGCTGAGATTAAATAATTATTTGCAAATGACCCCCCTTCTAAACTTGTATAAAGAATTCTCGAGGCTTTTCTATAAGTGGCTAACAACAGCGACACGAGTTCCGCCATAAGCTAATTTCGTGACTAAGCTTATATAAAGAATTATCGAGGCTTTTCTATAAGTGGCTAACAACGGTGTCACGAGTTCCGCCATAAGCTTATTTCGTGAGTCTCTTGGTATGTTATTAGGCGCACGATATGCTTTAATCTTGTAGAATACTGAGTTATTATATTTTTACTATACCAAGCTTTGAGCCTCGATTCAAGTTTCCGAAATTCTGGCAAATTTAAATATTACATGATACGTTTAAGGCTGTACCCTGGTTTGTCTTATTTTTAAAATTTATTTCTGTTGAGACAACTCTCCTCAGAATATGAACTAGTACACTATATTTTGGTTTGTTTTGATAGTGTACTAGTTGGTTTCTTTTTAAAAAGAAGGCTTAATAACCATCTAATCGAAGCACTTTTTTGTCTGTCCTAAAGGTTCTTAATTTTTTAAAATCTAAATAGAGTGAATATTGGACAGTAAATGGCATATTTTTAAAGAATCAAAATGTTTTTGTTTAGAAATAAGTATAGTACATAATACAATTTTGTAATAAAGCTAATTACTATTCACAAAAATTTATATGGGCTTTTATATATAGATAAAAGTGTCTATACTCTATACCACACCCTGGTATATTAATGGTACACGTGTGTGGGGGAGGGGGGTGCAAAAAATGTAGTTAATATAAAATATAAAGCCTAAGCTATTAAGTAATTACTATGAAGTTGGATGAGATGAAAATCGCATAAAGTATTGAATAAGAATTTGAAGAAATAAGGTCAATTGTTATTAATAAATTTTATACATTATGTAATTGTTGAGTTCAAAGTCAAAGCAGATCTTTATGAATTTGATATTCGCATACCTTGACTTACACCTATGCGCATCGTTTATATATATTCTAAGGACAGTAGAAAAAGAATATTATAAAATCATTATCTAATATATTTTGCTTAAGTGTTGTTAAAAATTTCGAATTAACGGATTTAAAAAAGCGGCTAAAATCAAGATTTTAATCAAAAATATTACATAATCTTCGAGATTTTTATTATATGAGAGCCTACGTTTTGCCAACTATTGGCAAAATCTTGAGAACTTGTAGGTTATTTTAGGTTATAGTTTGTTAGCTAAAATCTTTATTTTTTATAAAAACTATTGAATCGAGGTTTTTAACAATAATACTATTTTGGACAATTTTCGATGTCAAATAAATGAAAAGTTCATGATTCATAGAGAAACCATTACAAAACTAAGTAATTTGTTAATATATTGAAATTACTATATATTTTGACCACTATATTCAATTATCACTTACACAAATGAAAGAAATTTTTTGTTTAAGAACAATCAAAACTTGACATCATGACTTGGGTTATTTATTTAACCGATTTTTTTTAAAAAAAAGAGGCTAATCCGCGTTTAAAACAATTTTAATATTTGAAAATCTCGCAAACTCACTTTTTGAATATGGCAGCCTTCAATTATTTAAAATATGTTATTTAATTCGTTAAGTAAATAGTAAATGAATATTTAAAAAAATGTAGGGGAGACTGGGGTTAGGTAAACCCCAGGGCTTGGCAAACCATTTCATCTCATTTTAAAATTAAATACACCAGAAGGTTAAAATTTTATCCTAATATAGTTTTCATTAGTATACATCTATGGACAAAATATATTTTGAAATAATTAATTACTAAAATAAAATTTTGATGACATTTTCAAAAGATTTTTACATGACAGAATTTTAATTTTTATTAAAATATATAATCATTTATTTATATGTAAATTAAATTTTATTACAAAGTTTAAACACTCTTCTATAATTTGGGTAAGTTTTATGAGTATTTATCAAATCTAGATATTATTTCAATCATGATTTGTCAATTTAAAGCTAGCGGGGTTTGCTAAACCATACACGTCAATTATGGCAATTAATAATGAAAAAAATTTCAAAATCTTGAAAAGGCAATTTCATGCTTGTTTATGATTGGTATTTAGGATTAATGCTAAGAAATCTTAATCTCTCCTTAAAATTCATATTTTTTTATGTCCAAAATGTTTATTAATTTAGCCAAAATTAAGTTTCAATTTTTATCTATAATTAGGTTCAATTTATAAGTATTATGATATTTTGAACAATAAAACAATAAAATTATTCTATACATATCATTATTAATAAATAAATATGCATTTCAATTTATTATGGCCTAAAAAACCAATGGTTTAGGAAGCCCCTTGAAGTGGTTTGCCTCACCCCGCTATTGGGGCTTGTTTAACAAAATTTTTACTTTTACAAAAAATAAAATTTAAAAAACTGATTATATTCTTAAGGCACCTTTATAGAGAATTGTTTTAGGTATCCAATCATATATTGTTTTTTATATTATCTATAAAACAACAAGAGCTATAGCCAATTATGTAAAAATTGGTTCGACCGACTAACTCCACGCTCCCCTACAATATTTATTTTAATATGAATTATTGGTTAATGTTAGATATCACGGTCAACATATAGAAATTACTAAACGAAATTTTTAATAAAATGTGATAAGACCTATTTTATAATATTTATTAATGAAATCAGGTGGTTGAGTCCGATCGACTATATATCAGCACCCAAGTATTAAACCGCCATGTTGGTTTCAGAAAAAATAACATGATCCTTAAGGAATTCGAACCCACTAAATATTATAAATAAACAAGTATTGTTACCTTAATTTAAAATTTGGTCCGTTCAATATCACACCATGTTATATCTAACATTAACCTAAATTATTCATAAAAAAGGATTAGATAAAGTTAATATGTGAAAGCTTAATTTTGCTTTTCTATTGAAGTAACTGCTATTTGTTTGTTTTCAATAAAATATTGCATTTGCATGAAATAGAGGGAGGGGAGGAGGGGGTTATAAATTTTTGGAGGGGAGTCTGGCCTTCAAATTTATCTACTGCTTTGTTTTTCAATACTCAAAAGAGTAGAGTGTTTTGGAGTGCATAAATCTATGGAAATTATGTCGAAACATAACTTTGCATTATTAGCAAATGAAAAAGAAGACTAATCACAGATGATTTTATATCATTAATAAAAAATAAAATTCATCACAAATTATAAACTTAGCTGATGGGAGGTGGAGGGGGTCAGAAAGTAACTGCCCTCCATTTTTAGTCTTTTTAACTTATTTCAAAAATAGCTAAACCTAGTTTTGCCGAAAATGATATCTTAATTTTCTTTAAAAAGATAGCTCAACATAAAAGAAAATGAGGAAAAACATGCATCAATGCTTCTGATTTTAACGGTCACGCCGGCTGACCGAGCCGAATCAGTGGAATAAACAACTAATTAATCTTAAGAATTTGTAATATTAATATAAGTCACTTTTTGCCATCATAATGCAATCAAAATCTACCAAGAAAAATGTGTCTCTCCCTCACGTGAAAAGTCTTATGGTCTTGAGCACTCTCTTTGCTCTCCAAAGGAGAAAATAGCATTTTAAATTCGATTTCTATCGATATTCAATTTTAATTGGTAAAATAAATTAAATTTCTTTTTTTTTTGAGTTTTAAGCATGATTCATAATTTTAAAAAAAAATTATTATCACGAATAATTATTTCAAAGCTTTTTTTAGGATGAAATTTACAGTTTTTCATATACAATAATTAAAAATTATTATTGATATGATTTAATTATCAAATTTTGAAGAAAAAAAAATAAAATTTAAGAAAAATTTTGGGAAAAATAAAAATTTGTTTTCAAAGAATTCTGGGCCTGGGATGGTTAAATGATTTAATGAAATCATGAACTTAAGTATTTTTTAAATAAAAGGATTAAAACAGCTGAAAGCTTACAATAAATTGTTATGATTTGTATATTTAGAAAAGGATCGAAAGTATGATCATTTCTAAAATAAATTGAATATTAAAATAATATAAATACTTTAAACATTGCTGAAAACTTGGATTAGATGTGTGCAATGGGCGAGTTTTATGCCCACAATCCCGCCCGCCCATGTTTTTAAAAATATTTAATCAGCCAACCCAATCCGCCTATCGTTTTAAAAAATATACCCACCCTCCGGTCAACAGTCTAAAATTCTTTGCCCGTCCGCTTGCGCATTACTCTAAAGATTCAGTTTTAGCGCTACACCCCTATAAAAAAGTTTTATAATTTAGGAAATTATTATATTAATTATTAAGCATTAAAAAAATATTCAATTTAATTAATGGATATGGAATTTTTTTGATCAAATAATGAAAAAAAGATAAATATAAAATTAATATTTATTGATATTATTTGTAATTATAAAGCAAAAATAATAATGAATCCACATTTTCTAAATCCAAACACATTCTTATTTGTTCCAAAACTTCCAACAATGATAAATTCTAGTTCAGAAGAAGCATTAGTTGCGGGAATTGTCAAAATTTTTCTATTGTTTTAAAATTTAAATTTTTAAGAAAAAAATTCCTATATTTTTGTCCCCTTCTTACCTTTTAGAGAAATAGCATGACCTTTCCCCCAATTTTAGGAATATACATTACAGCATTAGTTAAGTGTCAATATCTAATAGAAATAGCAATGTACAGGAGTATCTAATATGGCGAATTGAAAATTATAGATCAAAATTGAAAGTTAGGATATAAATGCTTGAACTTACTCACAGGCTTTTTTCGAGATTCGATATTCAGGTATTGTTTAGTTCTCCTTGGGCTTGGTACGATTAATCATAAATTTAATCAAAAAGTGGGAAAACATTATAAACTATTGAAAGAAAAAAAAATCGGTGGAGAAGAGTTTTGCCACATTGGTAAAAGCAGGTCCCATAAAGTTTATAAAAATAAACCTAATGAGGCTTTCCGATAGATGGGAATAAAATAAGTTATTCACAGATAATTGTGTAACTTTTTCATCTGCCTTCTTAGAATTGAAGGAAATATTATCATACTCATATTAATTGTAAATCTAAAAAAAAGTTATTTCAGCTGAATATCAATCATTTCAAATGTTCAGCATTTTAAAATCTTAAAAACATGAAAGTTAGAATATACATTTTTAAAAGAAAGCAATAATTTTAATAAACATAAAATTAGAGCAAATACACCTATTACTTTATTTTAACAAATAAAATAATTTTATATTTTTTGTACAGCTGTGAAATGTGATATGATATGTGTCAAGGTAAACTATAAACTTTGATTGCTAGTATATTTGATGGTCCCTTTCCATTCTATATCTTTTTTTCTATAACTATGATTAAATTTTAATATTTATATAATGTTAACCTCGATATGCCAAAATTTGCATGTAAAATAAATTAATTTGGACAATAGTCTTATAGCGAAAAATGTTTAAATAGAATATTTTGAACATAATCTATCTAAATAAACGTTTTTTTTTCATTTACATTGTTTATTTCATGTTCCAGAACCTACAAGCCTGGCCTAGTATATGATACAGCTCGTATATCAGAGATAAAGGAGCAATTTTGGAATCAGGGGGCTTAAAAATCTGCAAATATTTTAAAACCCAGGCCGGGCCAATAAATTTAAATTATGTCAATTAAATTGTAAAATCATATAATAAATTATTACTGGCCTATTCATAATTTTAAAATTTTGAGCCCCGAGTTTATAAATAAAAACCCAGCTGGGCCGAACTAAAAATATTTTTTTGTCTCAAAAAATTTGGACCAGCTTCTATTAAATTGGTAAAATTATATAAATTGGAACATCACTCATTTAAAGGGTCCAAGTAAATATGTATAATATATGTCTGATAATGAAATCATATAGCGAACTAAATTCGATATCCTCATTAAGTTCGCGGTAGAGGCAGGGTGATCCTCTAACAGGTCGCGGGGATGTAATTAAGTCATTAAAATTTCGGGAAGGAGGGGAGCATATTATTTAACACACATAGTCTCCCCTGTAGAACCCTGAAAATTCAATTATTTTAGATCAGAACACGGCCTTAAGTATTTTTTAGATTTTTAGGTCCAAGGTCAGCCTATTATTTATATTTCTTTTTTAAGGTCATGCCCAACCCTAAATTTTTTATAAGAAATATAAATTAAACTCAATAAAGAGAAATGAAGTAAATTATTAGTCGCTCTGTCCTGGGACATGGAATGGATGTTCCGAAAATTCAATAATTAGAAATATAATATATATAATTTCTCTCACAAATAAAATAATCCCTTTTCTTTCTTTCTCTCTTTTATTTTTTTTACTCATTATTACGTATTATATATGAGAGTGTAAAAAAAACATTCCTTTTTTTTCATCCAATTTAAAATTTTAAGTAAAGCTAATATTATAGTATGGAATAAAAGGTTTTTGATTTCAATGAATAATTTTATTACCAAGCTATTATTGATTATTGACTGACAAGTTTTTTTTTGACACCCAAATTTATATTAATACCAGGGCCCAAACCAAATATAAATGATATCTAATAATTAATATTTTATATGGAAAAGGATTCATGAATATAAATAGCATATGAATTAAATAGAAATAAAATTAAATATTTTATCTCAGGAAAGCAGTACGGAACGTTCCAAAATGTGGAATGGAACGGGAGCATAATTTTTCTGCAGAAGCTGAATCGCAGAAATGCCTTTATTCCGGGCCCATGGGTCTGTCCTTATAATAGACAAATTCTAATTATCATTTTATAATTTGATAAAATAAGTTCATCATTTTCTATCTTATTTTTTTTAAATATTTTTCAAATCCGGCGCTGATTAAATACTTTGAATTTTCTTTTTTTAGTTTCGGGTAGAATTTCAAGACTCTATTCCTCAGTATTTATTTTATAGTGACTCATTTTATATATTAATCATCATGGGGCTTCAACGTCATTGTAGGGGAATCTCTAGGGCTCAAAAGTAGGATTAAATAAAGTAAATAAAAGCGAGTATTAGTTATTTTTGTCTGGCTTATAGAAGTTTATAGATGAAAGGCATAAATTAGCCTAATTCTAAGCTTCAAAAAAATTGCAAAATAACGGCCTAATCCGAAAAATTAATTTGCACAAGTTTTTTTGGCCCGGTAAGAGAATATTTTCTTACCATCGCTTTGAGTTGACTTTCAAGTTTAAAATGTATAAAAAGAAGACAAAGAGATTATATAAATTAATTTCCTTATAATTCAGAATATTCGTAATAAATATTATCCTGATTATATGTGTATATGTTTTTTTACAAATTCTCGTTAAATATTATTTAAAAAAAATAGTAAGCACATTATCTATGCCTATATTTGTACATCGATAACTTTTACAATTATACTACACATATTAATAATTGTGATTTTTCTGTTATTCATTTTCTTATTTTTTTAAAACTTAATTTTAAATAATTTCCAACGTTTTATTTCTTATTTAATAAAATAAATAAATAAAAAATAAAATTAAATTAAATTTTCCAATCAATAAAATATTTTCTGAAATTAATTATTTGAAGTCGTCGATTTTAAATATCTAAACTAACACAAATTTATTATTTAATTTTTTTTAAATTTTGTTTTTAAATTATTAAATTATCAGGAATCTAGTGCGGTGGTTGTCCTGAAAAAAAAATACGTTTAATTGCTTATAAATATAAAATCTTCTTTTTTCTTAAAAAAAATTAAAGACAAATATTCTTGAATATATTATAATTATATTTACTATTCTGAAAAATTTTTTAAACAGGTAAAAAAAATTGTTGATAAACGTATTTATATTTATTTGTGTAACATTCCTCTCTTTGCACATGTTTTATAAGTAGAGTCTTAGAAAAAATCATTTTTTTTATCTTTTGTCTAACCAACCCCACCCAACAATTGGTTTTTTTAAAGGTCTGAACCAATTATGCTCATTTCAAAGCAAGCGAAATAAATTATAAGCGCTAGAGGTCTGAATTTCTCTCGGCCAGATTAAAAAAATTTTAAAACTCCGATAACAGGTTCCAAGGGATCTGACAGGAAAAGCTACCTTTCTTTTTATCTTGTATTATTCTTCTTTTTTTTAAAAATTTAGAGCGGATAAATAACATTTAAATCACATTTACCTATTTAAAATCATTTCGTTATATTCTTATATTATTCTTTTTTTGCTTTTTCTATATTTTTAATATCCCATATTAATAAGCATCTTGTCGTAATCTACGTTTTCATAAATTTCATTAATTTTTTTTAAAATTCTAACATTTTGAATTTATATATAACTCTTGGTTTATATGATAAATGCGTATTTATTTAAATTAGCATTGGTAAACTCTGTTATTAGGTACTTATAAATATATCTATAAATTATAAGACATCTTGAAATGAAAACACAACCTAGCCACCAGACTCATAGGTCACGTCAGGTTGTAATTATTTTTATGTTTTGATTGGGTCAGATCAAGAAAATATTTTTCTTCCTTCAGGTATGGTCTAAATATTGTCTCTTACAAAGCCTTTCTAAATATTATTTTTTTTAATATAAAAAAATACACATCATTCCATTCACAAAAATCTTTTTTTTTCTGAAAGAATTTTAATATTTTTGATATATTATTACATAAGAGAATTTTAATGATTCACAAAAATCCTTTTTTTTTAAAAGAATTTTAATATTTTTGATAGAGAATTTTAATTGTTTATTTTATTTTAAGAAGCATTTTCATTATCCAATTATAATTATAATACTAACTTTTAAGTCTGCCATGTTCAAACAGAATGTTAATATTAAGAAAAGTCTGGAGATTTGAACTTAATTAAATTAATGACAATTCAATTATTTGCTCAATTTGTTATAACAAACATTTTTATTCTTTTAATTTCCTCAATAACTCTATTTAAAAAAAAGGAAATTAATATGAGTTTTACTTTATTATATTATTAAAATTTTATTGTAATTTAAAAAATAAATAATCTAACAATATTTAATTTAGGAAAGAATACAAAAAATAATTGTCATTTGAAATCTGGTGAGATATGACACATCTTCATTAATTTCCCGCTTATCCTTAATCCTTTATTATTAATATTTTTTAAAGATCTTTTTCAAAATTTATTGGGAAATTTAGCTAATAAAATTATTCAAAATTGCAAGAGGAAATTTGGAGAATAAAACAAAAAATGTGTTAGGTATATGACTTGACAACATGTTATATTTAAAAAAAAAGAAATCATTGAAAGTTTACTAAAAAAAAATTTTAAAAAATCAAACTTTTTATAGATTTTTAAAAAGAAATTGCGATCTTTATTGGAAGTAATTCTGTTTATGTATATATAATTCAAACTTTTTATAGATTTTTAAAAAGAAATTGCGATCTTTATTGGAAGTAATTCTGTTTATGTATATATAATTTACTAATGTCTTTTGCATTAAACCAAATTTTGCTCCCAATAAATTAATACTAGGGAAAAGGGCGATGCATCCTTAATTCCATAAGGAAATGATTAAAAATTTATTCGGGTGCTACGTTTGAGCGGACATGAACACCTATAGAAATTATTACTAATTCAAAATTAGGGAATCGAAAAAAAACTCGAGCCTCATTTGTACATAGATGAATTTTCATTCTTGGTGAATGCAGTTATATCAAGGACAAAATTTGGATTTGTCTGTAATTACCATCCCAAATTTTTGCCGAAGAGCAGCAGGATAGTTTCCAATTAGAAACTACAACTTTTTTCTGCATGACTTAATCAAATGTAATATCGATGATGGCATAGTCAACCCAAACACACATTCTAGTCTTAAAAATTTTTGCCTATTGCACAGTATCATCTACACATTTCTGCTATATTACCCTCATTTTTTTTTTAAAAAAAAAGGGATTATTTTCAACCTTGTTTTTTTAATAAAATAAAATTCTTGTATTAATAATTTAATAATACTGTATAATTTGCAAGCAAAATCTGGGGGATTAAATCCATTATTATTATTAAATTTAAAAAATGGTCGCATTAATCTATTTTTTTTTGTCTACTTTTCATATATAGTTTTTGCAGAAAAAAAATTACCGAATAATTTACGTTTTTTTTTATTCTTCAAGTAATATTACATCTACTATAGGCTGTGTCCAGAACATCAAAAAATTAAATTCACAAACTTTCGAAACTAATGAAAATTAAATGAGCTATTTTAGAATATAAAATTAAAAATTGTAATTCTAGAAAATTTTATATATATTTCAAAAATTTAACAGAGATTTCTCTGAAATTTTAACATTTGCGAAAGTTTTGAAACTTTTCGAATTTTTTCTTAAATGGTCAGACATATAATACTACCAATATATTATTTTATTTTTTGAAATAGCAAATAACTTAACAACGCAACCAACATTTTTATTATGAATAACCAAGATGCGACCTTGATATATTAAAAATCTTGTTTGTTACAATAATACTTCTCTTTCTTTCTTTTTTATTCATTTATTTAAATTTCAAAATTATTTGGTAATTGATTTGGAATAACAGGAGGCTATCGAATAAAAAAATTTGTCCGATTAAAAATGCCAAAAGAATGAAAGAAAAATAACCAGTGTTAATTTTGTAAATATTTTTTAAAAAAAAATTGAATGTCGTTTTTTTTAAAATTCATATTTTTTTCCTTTTTCTCCTCAAAATTGAAATTCCTTGCAACCTTCAATTTATGATTAATGAATTCAAATTGTACCAAATAATTTTCATATTTACATTTGAGATTATTTTTAAAAAATATTATAATTTAGATTTATCTCAATTGCTTCCCGAATTTTATTTTTTAAACCAAACAAATGCTTTAGAAATCTTCTCATTTGATTGATTATTATCATATTTATAATTTTAGTAAAACCGATATAGTTTCATTCATAAGTCATAATAAAAGATAGCTTAGGTTAAATTATCTTTTAAATTTTTATCTTATCTAGCACGTTGGTCACACCTTCAAATAGCAAATCCTCCACATAATTTTGCTGATTTTTTTTTCAATTATACCAACAAACCTGTAACTCGGTAGGTAATTTGGGTGAAATTACTCCCTACACATATTTGCAAATTTAGTGATGAGTATATTGGCCAAATAAATAATTAAATATATAAGAAGCCATCTTTTCAGAAAAATTTTACTCACCATTTTTTATTGGGAATAAATAAGATTAGTTAATTAATTGAATATATTCTAAAGTTAGTTTTGGGGAATTTCTTTGATTTAAAGAGTCATTTTACTCTCAAAATTTCTTATTAATATAGGATCAATAAACCTAATACTATACTTTCTGACTCCATTATTCTCGTAATTGAAATGTGCTTATATTCACTTACTAGTAAAATACAAACACTAAGATACCTTCATCAAGTGTTTGTAGGATCATATATCATATTTCTCTTAAATAAGCGTTTATTTGCAGCAACCAATTCGATAAACTACCAAATGAATCTCATTTCCGATAACGTTTTGGAGCTCATACTAAACCAGCTATTTAGATAAGAATGGTTTTAGAGAGGTCTCATCCGAGAATTTCAAAGGCTTGGTAAATTAAATTATTCGGGCTTGCCTAGGAACATGACCCATTCACTCTATTTTCATGTACTATATCAAATATCCCAAAGGGCTGGGTTAGACGTGTTATATTGTAGTGTTAGTCGGTTTTAATTATATATCCCAGACATTTGTTAACAAAAGATTGTTCCTTCTTTATGGACCCTGTCGTCTGTCCACGTCTCGAGGCCAGGTACATTTAGGAGGGACTAATGTTTTAAACAACTTTATTTATGGAATAGATATTTGGTTAAAGGACCATACCTTCATAAGCAAACACTTAATTATGGTCTTGGTCAATTTGATCCTAATATCTTGCTTAGTTTGCCCCTTGTTTAAAATGACTTCCAGATATTTTAGGCACGTTACTTCAATTTTTTATTAGTTATCATTAGGTTATCATTAGGTAATATATAGAATGATGTCAGCACTTTCGTTTTATCCATGTTCAGATTTTGACCAAAAACCTTTTTATCATGCAAGTCTTAATCACCAATAATTCCTGTCAATATTAAACTAAAACAGGGTTCTATTTTATCTCCGTTATTATTCAACTTCATAATAAATTCTATAATAAAGAAAGTAATTTTTCGGAAGAAATGGTGGTGGAAAATATACCTTACTTTTGCGGACGATTTATTTATCACTGGGACATCTATCCAAATCCTCAATATCTATTCGACAAAATAATCATAGAAGCAAATGTTAAATCTGAACACGGATAAAACGAAAAAAGTGCTATATATACATTACTTTTATGATAATCTAAAGATAAATAATGAGGAAATTGAAGAACTTCTAAATAAAGCCGCGATAAATAATTGATTTACTTACCTGGGCCCTCTCCATTTTAGTTCTGATCGAGATTTGAACTGAAATGATAGCTCAATTCTATAAAAAAATTAACTCGTGCCTCAAGAAATTTATTTTTTGCTTCTAGAACGTTCCCTTCCTAAACGAAATAACAGTTGTTAAATCATTTAGATTTGCCCAATTCTACCGGCTTAATCTATATGTTTAATATTGTGAAGATTGAAATAATTTTTTTAAGGATTTCTTTTTAAAGCAGATCTTACTCAATCCTTTTTGTGGATTTAATATTATTTTTATTTTTTATAAAAATGAAGAAATTTTATTTTAGTAATAATAGGTTGCTGTTGAAAAAATACGATATTTCAACGAAAGTGGGAAAATTTTATAAGCCCTCAAGGAAAATAAAAAATTTTGTCACTTGTTAAAATTATAATAATAGAATTTTTTGAAAATAAAATCTTTTCAAAAAATTTTTGAAATTAAAAAGATTCTGGAAAAGAATATTTATAGAAAACATTAGGAAGGCAATATATTTTAAAATTTTGTTCCTAAGTAATATTTTAAAAAAATCCGTCCCATCCGACCGGGTCCGAAAATAATATTTTAATAAAAATTATTTTTTTTTATAACACTAGATACGGATAGAAAATGTCAGCACCTAAAATAAGCCAAATAACGGGGGACACAAATGTCATGGAGGGAGACGAGGTTCTTTTAGAGTGCAAAGTTGAGCCCGCCGACGATCCCAATTTGAAAATTGATTGGTTTCACAATGGCAGACCTGTTATCGTAGGTAATGTCTATAGTTTTATATTATTTGAACATACTAGAATTGTTTTATATAATATATATATATGTCTACAAGAGTTGTAAATCATGAATTTTTTTTAACGTATCACTAACTATTACAAAAAAGGTAATTTTGAAAATAATTTAAAAAATATTTTTTGAGCCCCCTGAGATTATAAAGGCTAGTGACGCCTCTGCCTTGTGTTGAGTTGTCAAAAACAATTTATCACATCACTTATACGAAATATTATTGAATATCTATATTGACATATCCAAACCGATCTTGAACCACTATTTTTATCTGAACCCCATTGGCTTAAATAAATATTATAGGCTATTTATAATATTAAAAAATCTATCATTATATAAATATTTTAAATATTATACAACTATGATGGGCACCTAATCCCTGGCCTGTCACCTTCTTATCTATTTTTAATTTAAGTTCCGATTTTTATTTTGTGAATATAGATAGATTACTATCTCTATAAAATATTGTTAAATTTGAATGCATAAATTTTTTGTTAAACGTAATAACGGAACTAGTTTACAAAATATAATTTTAAATATTACACATTTTGAACCAAAAAAATTAAAGGGGATAGACAATCCCGATATCTCCTAAATAAATTTTTATAAATGAATGGTCGGGCTGAAATAAATGATAATTAGGGGGGGGGGGGTGTATCCTGGCTTCCAAATTCCTTCATTGCAGGCCTATTTATAAGACTTGCAGATTAAAAAAACACATATTACTCCCTGATTTTTTTAAAAAAAATCATTTTTAAGCTCGGTGTGGTGTTTTTTTTTGGATTTTTTTTTGGCCCAGCCTTAATTTCTATTTTTAATTATTTTACGGTGGCTCGCTCCTGGTTATTTTTAATAAAATTAAAATTTTACGTATGGGAAATGTACCATGAATGACCGTGTTTTTGCTTTTTTAAAATTTTATATCAATAATCTTTATACAAATATTAATAATTTAATTGAGATTTTATAATATTTTTAAATTTCCAATAAAGTGAAGTGATAATATAATTTTAAATAACTTAATTCATTTATGCCATTTTTATATTTTTTAAAATTTATTCTCAAAAATTCCTATTGGATGTTAATAAATTTTAAACAATTAATTCATTTACGCCACTTATTTTTAATTTTTAACTTATTCTCAAAGATTATTAATTAGAAGAAAATGAATGTGAATAAGTCAAAGTAAAAAATTACTATATTAGATATTATTAATTTAAAGAATTCTCAAAATTTAAATTAAAAATTGTTATACAAAGATGTAGGCAGTTTTTGTAAACTTTTGTATTTTTAACTATATTTTGCCTATAAATAAATAAAAAAATTTATTTTTTATACCAAATTTATGGTAATGGTTTATTAGTTATGATTTAAGTATAGAATTTTTTTATCAATTCAAAAATTCTTAAACCGAGCTGAACCCGGAACCAAACCCGGGTCCTCCCTGAACCGAACCTGAACCACCTATTTTTTTATCTTAAACTGAACCCGAACCAAATCCAGGCAAAAATTTTGCCGAGTTCGCATCCCTGCATATATGTATTGACTATATACTATGTGTTAACTGGCCATAATATATTATTCAAGCATTTTATTATATATATGATAATACAATATGAAATACATACCTATGTTAATATTTCTACATTTTTTAGTATATAAAAAATTAATTATATACTAATTTAATTAGTATTAATATCTTAATTTATCACCATCTATTTAATGATAATATTATAAATTATTATCTTAATTATCTTTTTGCCATACATTCTTAAGCTTCACTAAATGTTGTTTTGCACTAGCTTTTCATTTCAATATGAATATGTGAATGTGCCAATTGTGGCCAATCAATACATGGCCAGACAATACTAACCTCTCTATTATTATTAAGCGCCTTTAATATGTCTATTAAATAAAACTTTTCAAGTCTAATTTTTTGTGTGAATAATGCTAAATGCCTGGATAATATTTATATAAAATATCAGTAATCTAAATTAGTAATTTTTCACCAAACAAAAAAATATGTGACGAGATTTTTCTAGAAAAAGGTACTAAAAACATTTCATTTAAAATATTTTTTATTGGATTGCTCTATTCAGTAAATGAACATATTTAAGGTATATAAACAATTTTGAGAGAAATCGGTCCAATAGATAAAAAGTTAAAGGGTGGTGGCCAGTCTTCAAACATGGTGGGGCCAGTCTTTAAACATGGCCATTTATGGCACATTTCCCCTACCAGTGCGTGTACCTGGGCCAGGCTTTGGTTCAGGCCCACAGGTCTCTGCTATATATAAAGTATTTTTTAACATGTCACCAATGCTATTTTTTATAACAATTTATATTTACAATTACACAAATAATTTTGTGATTATGGTGACTTCTACTCCGGGGGTTTTGACGCAAGATCATCATTGAAATTGGAGGGAAGAAGGTCTTTGTGAAGACGTTAGCGTCATTTTAATAAAATTGAATGGAGATAAGGAGTAGGGTAACTATGATTTGGATTTATCTTTTTTAGTTGCTAAATTTTGAATTTCCTTAAATCGAGAGGTAGATAAATTTTAGGAGACTATGAGGTACATTTTAGAGGGAGACTAGTATTAAATATTAAATTAGTGGGTAATATTAAATAACTTCAATTCAAACTATATTATTTATGTATACCGCATTGCGTAAAATGTAATAGTTGGAAAATAATTATCTTTTAGAGTTTTATTGTTAATTAAAAGAAATTATTCAAAAATTCTTATCAGCAAATTATTTAATTTTTTTTATATGTGAAAAAATTTTCGTGGTTAAATTCAGAAGAGGCTTTAAAAAAATATATAAGATTTTGTTTAAAATGTGCTAATAAAAAGTAATACGATTCTTTCGCTTATTATATTATAATTTATGTCAAATTTTAAGCATATTATTATTATTTTAGTTGTTTTTTTTGGGTTGCATTTTTGATATAATAAAATCAATCAAATTTATTGAATACAATTAAAACTAATAATAATAATAATTAGTAACATATGCTTTTTTAATATAATTTTGTTGGAGGCATTCGGTTAAGTTGAGTTCAAGGCCAGGGGCTGCCAAAAAGAGATACATTTTCTAGCTTTTTTTGATAAAATACCCATTTTGGTCTCTCGATAACCCATGCTGATTATAAATAACTGCAATTATTTAAACTGTCTGAACAAAAACCGTTTAAAAATTAATCTTGGTTGTACTCTATATTTCAATGAGAAATTGAAAATTAAGCATAAAGTGAGTGTTGAATGGATCCATTAAATAAGTTAACAGATTAATTATGTGGCTTAGGCAGATCTCTGAAATGTTTCATTATTTTTTCTTTTCCGAGCCTAGTTAGTGGAGGACCATATTTTAGGGTTTTTACTTGATTACTTTGCTCCCCCAAATAACAATACCTTACAATTAATTTTTCGCACTTAAAAAATTAGATTCAACTAAATTTACTTAAAAAAATACTAAAGAAGCTAATGACTCTGAAACATATGTTTCTATCACGGGGGACTATGACACAAGATCGCCATTGAAGTCTAAGTGGGGTAAGAGTTGTAAATGCTCTATGATCATAAGAATATGGGAGGGGGGGGGGGTATGGCGGTTAAGTAAAGGTGGATTCATAAAGACCACTTACATTGTAATTTTAGGCCAAAGATAATTATTTAACTAAATCGTTTAAGCATGAGCGTAATTACTAGTTTTTACATTTTACCTTTGTCAATTCATTTATTTTTTTCTCATGCTTTAATAATCATTGTATTTTGTGTTTGTGGGTAAATTTATCAGATCGATCCTATTATTATTTTTAAATAGTTTATTTTGCTTGCCTTTTGTATTTGTCTATAGAATAGAATATTTGTATTCAACCAGCTGTTTAAGTAAATTTAAAACATATTTTTTTTCCTCCTGATATTTCATACATATTTATTTTAATTTTACATGATTTGATCGAGAAAATATAAATGATTTTTTTTTACGCAACTAATATCGATTATATTATGAAAATAGCAAATATTCTAAGCTTATATATTTTAAAAAAAGAATTAGAAAGGTATAGAAAATGTTTAAAACTCCGCCACCAAAAAACACTCATTATGGATATTTATAAAGGATTTTCAACGTGTCTTTCGGTACTAGTAGTGTCCCTAGCTATTAGCCCCTTCACTCGTCATATATAATGACATAAATCTGGTGGAACGGACTAATTTAAAATTGATATATCTCCATTTTTATTCATTGGTTATATTTTGACATAATCTCAGTCAAACTTTTTAAACATTATTAATTTTATTTAATCTGAGTTAAATTACGCAATCAATAATAAATTTATATAATTACTAAATTCGATTAATTTTTTTGTTAGCCTCACGTTTCGAAACAGTTCATGATATGGATTATGCGGCTTTAGATATAAGTCCCGCTTTCGCCTCAGATTCCGGAACTTACGTTTGCAAGGCTACCAATAGACAAGGTCAAGCTCAAGCTAAAATTGATGTTACAATCACGGGTAAATAAACATATACTATAACTATGTTTATACTATAAAGTATTTTTATGTTTCATGTTCCTACAGATCAAATTTTTACTGGTAAAATTCAGCCCCTTTATATCTATCTCTAAGATACTTTTGTCCCAGCTACCTGCCTAGTGGTTCCAACCTCCATGAGATAAGCATCAATATTTGTAAAACCCCTACCCCTATCCGCTGAAACAAAATAGTTATAACACCTAAAAAATCGACATCAATATATGTGAAACCTTACCCCCTCCCCCATTTATTACATAGTCCAAAACATTCATTTCTTATGAAGGTTTACTATTGTGGGGGTGCTTAGATACAACAAATTTTCCTAATGTATGTAACCCCTTACAAATTTAAATGAAGCATTAGCTTTCTAATCAATGACATTACTTCCCAGACTGATGATTCATTTATTAAAACATCTGGTGACACGCCATTTTATTTTCATCATATAACAATATTTATAAATAAATGTAACTCTAAAAAATAGGTTCTTTCGATTAAAAAATTATTTATTGAATATTATAATTTTATTTTATGTTGATACAATTTCATGTAAAATAGGTTGATACACCACATTCACTACATAAAACAATGATTCCATTTTTTTTAAAGCAGTTAGTTAAAATATATAAGAAAAAAACAAGGAAAATGTCTTATTTATATCGGATAATTTAAGTTTTAATCTGGACTGAAAATTAGTTAAGCATCTATTATGACATACTTTCCAGAATGATCTGTCTGAATTGAGATATTTATTTTATTTCCGACATAGCAACAAACGTCCTTATTTATAAACTTTTGTTTCACTATTATAGCGGATAATTTAAATTTTAATCTTAACTGAAGATTATTTAAGTATCTATTTGGACATATACCCGGAATGATCTGTATTTGATATAATCTGTCTGTGTGTATATTTATACTATTTTTAAACATATCAACAAACGTTCATATTTATACACGTTTTATTGTACGTTTTAAAGAAACTCAAAATATTTTCTATTGTTTTTTTAATTATAAATACCGTATAAAAAAACAACGCCAAACTTTTCTCAATTTCTAAGCACTATAAAGAAAGGATCTTTTTTTCAATATTTTCCACAACCATCCATTATCTATAATATTATTTAATTAACCTTATATTTCAATTTTCACGAAATTTTTTAATATTTCGATAAAAATAAATAAATGCATATGTTGTTGAGTTTTTATGAAATTTGATAAGTAAATTTTGAATATATTTATAGATTTTAACCTTTATGTTCATTTTTCTAGCTCATAAAATATGATAAAATTTATTTCGTGACTCGTCAGGCTTTTTATCTAAAACCAAAGCCATTAAAATTATTTTCTTTAATCATATAATAATCGAGCATAGCGAATATAAGATTGGTTTATTTATAAATTAAAGTAAATTATTTTTATTCACTTAGATCCTAGTGACGCTGTTTTAAACGACGTTATCTTATCAGCAGAGGGTTATCAGAAGATTCTAGATTTAGAAGCCATTCATATCCCCGAGGAAGTACCTGAAGAGGTCCTACCTCCACCTACTTTCGTTCAAGAACTAGCCGATATTTTAGATTGTCAAGATGGTGATGTGGTTAGGTTTGAGGCCAGAGTTGAACCTGCCAACGATCCATCTCTCAGGATCGAATGGCATTTGAACGGCCAACGTTTGGATTTAGGTAATAATATCATTCCTTGATATAAGTGAGTCATTATCATAGGCATAGTCTAGGATTTTCCGGGAGAGGGTTCTTGAGTCTAAGGCTTGCTTTTTAGTAGTCTTTTTTTTCCCGGATTCCATTTTTTAAAAATAATTTTAGTTTAAAAAATCATAGAATAATTAACAAAACTTTTTTATTTGCAGGGGATGGGGGATTTTCCTGCTTCTTATTCTGGCTACGCTTATGTTCTTAATAAGATATTATGATTGCAAAAACTTTGATTATGCTCGCCTAAAGGTCGTCATTATATATATGGTTATTAAATGACCACCTTTCAGTTAAGTCAAAGGTTTAATGGAACTCCCAGTCAAACCTACAAAACTAAAGGTTTCCAAATATAAGATTTTTTTTCCATGCCGAACTTTATCCTGCATTTAGTTTCAAGAAAATAAATATTGTTTTAGCATTATCCAAAAATCAGGGCTTAGTATCTTTGATTTTCAATTATTTGCTGATATTATTTTTTGATTTTTTATTTCCTGGATATGGTTGGTTATTAGTGTTCTGGGATTTGGTGGATTTTTCCGCGGTTTTTTAGGTGAAATTTTTATTTAGACCATATATTTCTATTTTACGTTTAGGAAGTCGTTTCAAGCCTACTTTCGATTTCGGTTTTGTATCGCTTGAAATATCCCCGGCAATCAATGAATATTCCGGTAATTATACTTGTAAAGCCATTAACAATTCCGGTGAGGCTACTTCTTCAGCCGTATTACAAGTACAAGGTTAGAATTGAATACATTTTATAATTTAATGATATGCTTTATATTCAGGCCGGGCTATTCCGATATAAAACCAGGGACGGACAAAAATTTTTTTTAAAAAAAATTCGGGCCTGGCCTTGTGAATGTATCTCTGCTGGTCTCTGATATTATTAATAAGTGGCAACCTATATTTTTTCAACTGGTTAATTAATTTAATTATTTTTAAAAATTCGGACCTGCCCGGCGTTTGTAAAATATCTAATTGTTTCGCGTCACATCAGATACCCGGCTCTGGGCCAGGCCAGCACGTTCGAAATTTTAAGATTTTAATTTATTTTTACTTTAAGTTCTATCCTTTTACATTTTATGAATATATAGGGGAAGGTGGCGTTTTCACTGAATCTCAAAATCCTGAAGGTCTTGAAAAAATTAAACAACTTGAAGCCTTCAATAATACTAGGGAATGGGTATCCGAAGTTGATGATCGTTCTTATGAAGCGCCTAAATTTATTAATCATGTAAATATAGCTACTAACTATAGATATTGAGTTATTTTATCATTTAAGCGAACTTTGATTAATTATAAAATTTATTAGTAATTCATTTTTTAATTAGAATGAAATACATGATTTATATTAACAATAATAAATACAAACCAAGGGCCTACAAGGGCTTTTTCTTGTTACTGTCCGGCCTAGAAAGTGTTTGGATCTGATTTTTATATCTATTTTATGAACGAACAGCTTTAATTCGTTTCTATGTTATAAATGTATTATATACTTTAAAATATTATCATTTATTGCGCTTTCTTATGCATTTAATTAACTTCCCGATTAATTAGTAAGTTATTATTCAATTGAATAGATAGAATTTGTTTTTGATTTCTTTATTTCAATCGATACTTTTAAATTACTTTACTTTAAAATTATAATAAAAAACTACAAAAACGACAAAAATATACAACTCCCCCATTAGAAAGGCTCGCCTTTATCACGCAACACAAATTCCAGCTTAATCCGATTTCAAGTAACCCAGTAAATCTCCTAGCTATTCGGCAAGTATATGGCTGTCAACTCCTCTTCCAGCTCCTCCCTTCGGATTCCCACTTCGTGATTTTCTTGCACCTCTTTCACCAACCCCGCTGACGTTGGATCGTCCTATGTATTATTTTTGGGCGTTAAGGGCATGCCCCAAGTACTGTCTTTATTTGTTGCATTTGTCTCCTACGACGCCGGAGTCTTTACTATAGCTTGTTTGGGCACTGTCTCTCTGGTCACCCGTTCACGGCTTCCCCTAAGACACTGGCTCCTTAGAAGCATAATAAAAAATTATTAAAGTTTAATATTTATTAGATGTAACATACCTGAGTAGAGAATTTCCAATGGCAGGAGCTGGTTCTTCGAAAACGTTTAAATTCACCTCATTATTGGTCTCCGAGACTCCAGATAACTGGGACGCGCATATGATAAGTCACTCTCGACGGCCAGATATGAGTATCGCTGGTGCTTTAGGTGTTGAGAGATGGAACAGCTAAGGAGCTGGTGTCCTCGGGGAAGCCGCGAACATTTGACAAGAGAGATAGTAGCCAATTGAGCTATGCTAAAGACCCCGGCGTCATGGGAGACGAATGCAACAAATAAATATAGTACGTGGAAGAACTAACACCCGCTGGATGGGAAAACAACGACTGAAAAAAATACACGGGGATCTAACGTCAGCGGGGTTGGGGAAAGATGGAAAATATCACAAGTTGGAAACCCAAGGGAGGAGCTGGAGGAGGAGTTAATACCACATACTTGTCCAAAGAGCTAGGAGATTTACTGGATTACCTGATATCAAATTCTGAGCTGGAATTTGTCTTGGGTGATGAAGGCCGGCTTTTCTAATGGGGGAATATATTTTTGTCGTTTTTGCAATTTTAATTATTAGTTTTAGGGTAGATGTAATTTAATATTATGTTATTTTTTTATTTATATAATATTTATTTTATAATAAATGTTTATTTATTGCTAGAAATATATTTTAGTAGATTATTTAATTTATTATTCCTTTTATATAAAAAAAAAGGTAAAAAAACGAAAAGATCATTATATTTTTCCGTAAAAATTATTTCTTTTATTAGGTTATTTAAGTTGTTAAACAAAATTATAAAATGTGAAAGATAGTAATCAATTAAGCGCAATAGAAAAGGTAGAGATATGGGAATAATAATATAAAAACATTTAATAGGTAAATAAAATAACTGAACCCGAAGTGTAAACCATCATATAAAAAAAAATGTGTAAAACCGATCTTCACAAAAACATTGCTAAATTTTTGACAAATTAGTAAGGTACTAATCTTAATTTTATATTTGTATTCTACTTACAAATGAGTGTAATTTAAATTTGCATAATTTTTGAGTGTTTTTATTTTATGTTAAAAAAATCTGAAAATATTAACAGATATCGGATATGATGGATCTAAAAGAAGGAGATCACGTTAATTTCAAATGCGATTATAAGCCTACAGATGACCCAGAACTAAAAGTGGAATGGTATTTCAACGACAAACCTTTGATCGCTAGTTTGCGCCATTTATAATATAATTATTTTACTAAATTTATCTTCTTAATGCTATTAGTTAATATTCAAATGTTATAATCACTAATTTAGATATTTTCGATATGATGTGTAAATTTTAGAATTATTTTCATTCTTCCCTAGTCTCACAGCCTAAATTTCGTAGAGATGACTTCTATACGCCGAACTCACTAGTTTTAGGGAATCCAATTTATAAGCTTCTTATATATCTAGATTCTCTTTTTTTAAACCAACTATCTAGACCTTAATAAACATAATACCGCATTATATATGTTAACGGCAATGTGTTTCTTTCCGGCAATATGTTATTTTTTAAACCTTAAATAATTTTTTGAGTGCGTTTTTTAAATTCAAAAATCTGATTTTACCGGAAATGTATTCCAGCATGTTTAGAATACCTATCTTAGTTATGGACAAGATTGCCTTTAACCTTTGAGTTATTAATTTTATATCAAAAATCTATGAAAAAACTAATATATGTTAAGTTCAAAAGTTCATGACAAAATTGCCTAAATTTTATAGGGTAGGTATTCCGAATATGATGGAATTTTAAATTATAGGAAACGCGCTAAAAAAAATGATTTAAATTTGAAAAAAAACACATTACCGCTAACATACACTTTTATCATCTACTACAATTATTAATTTTTATTAGGCAATCGAATTTCATGTTTAATCGATAATGGTTACGCCTTGCTTGAAATTGTGGGTGTAAAACCTGAGGATTCAGGTTTATACGTGTGTAAGATTAGTAACAAAGTGGGAGAAGACACAACCCAAGCAAGCTTAGAATGTTCCCGTAAAATTTTTCATTTACTTGCTATATTCGTTTAGATATTGACCTAAATTATTAGAACTTTCTACCTTATATCCATTTAAAATCATTTTTTAGATAGGTTTCATCTTTAAATTATTATCTTACCTCCAACATTTGGAAACCTATCTAATTAAAGTAGTTTATATTGGTATTAAAAATTTGTGTAAATGACACAAAAAAATTCTTATTTATAACTAATTTAACCAAAAATTGAGTTAGGGTTTTTTTTAATTCCACCTTACTGAAATAACTTGAATCGCCCTCTACCATTTTTAACTATCCTCAAACTATTAATAAATTAGATAAAAGTTAATATAAGACTTTTAGAAAAATTTAAATATAATATTATTCTTTAATCTTTATTTTTTTTTAACACCACATTTAATGTAGCTGATAGAGGCATCTTTAAATCCACCATATTGCCAAATAGTCTGAGAAAGATACGAGAGTTGGAGTCATACGATAAACCACATACCAAATTGTCTCAACGCCGCATGCAAATGGTTTAAATTTTTTGAAAAAAATACTCTATTTTTTAAATATTTAGAACTTTTTTTAAAAAAAACTATAACCTCCTTTTCATCAAAAAATAATATTAAATAAAAATTTTGCCTCCTTTCTTTATATACCTTATATTTTCTTCTTTACTTTCTAACCCGTAGCCAGCAAATTCATTTCCTAGTGACTTTTTAATCACAATTAGCGCGAATATGAATAAGGGACGAAAGAGAACTTCTAACCTTAATATAATAAAAAGCATTTTTTTAAAAAAGGATTTATTATGGGAGTAGGGAATTAATTTATTCATAAGCGTTTCATAAATTGAGACATGATAAAAGTCCTGTAAAAAAAAATATTTTTAATTCAATAATATAAAGTTAAATAAAAATCGATAATTTCTTTGTCCCTTAATCCCAGAAAAATTCTAATTATCTTCTTATTTAATTAAAAGAAAAAATATCAATAAAAGGAAGGAAAGAAAATATTACTTTATTCATTTTTAAGTCCGCTCCAAACTCACATTTTTTCAAGAACCTTTAGGAGCCCGAGTTTTGGGTCTTGCAGGATTATGAAACCAAATGATAAAATTTAAATAAATATCAATAAAAAAAATTTATAAATAAGGATGGTAAGTAATATAAAATACTTTTTATATGAATATTATTAAATAAATTATAATGTATGTAAGCTGAAATAATTAAAGGACAGAAATCTATTTACAAATTATACCTATTTAAAAAGGTATGCGAATAATAGAATATACATTTAAAGAGTTTTAATTAAAAAATTTTAATTAAAATTTAAAAATAGAAATAGTTGATGGTAGAAAATTAATTTTATTGCTACTTTCTTTATTTAAGTGGGAACGGATCCTATTATAATAAGTGATAAGAGTATATTATTCTTCCTCTACATTTTATGCAATGATGCAGACGGCCTCTTTTTTTTAATCTGTTACTTTATATTGAACCCCTCTATTTTTGGGAGAACATGATCGTCAATATAATTACTACATCAAAGGTATTATATTATCCATAATTATGCTAATTTTTTATGTAATATAATTTATCATAAAATAAATGTATTTAAAAAGATAAATTATAATTTTATTTGTTAATTTACACCTTTATTAGGGTCTGAATTTGAAATATTTCGTATTGTTAAACGGCTCGTTAAAAACGGGTAACTCAATCTTTTAGCCGCAAAATATTTCCTAAGCCTCGAGATTTCGTTAATAGATGTCCAAACTTGCCATCTATGGGAAAAGTCTTCATGCTTGCGTAATATTTTCCTGGATAATATATTGAGTTAGCCGTTTTTAAAAATCGGCTGAAAACGAGCCGCTTAACAACACTAGAAATATTGAATAGAATTTATAGCAAAATTCAATATGAAGAAAAGTTTCACAATGGTATAAAGAAAGGAAACTATTAAAAATAAACAAAATATATACACTCTACTATTTAATATGAATTTGATAATAATTATATAAATAAAGTTTAGTTATTAAATCGAACAAAACGAATCATTTACTATTCGTTTCCTATTCGATTCGTTTTTAAATAGGTCTATTATAGATCATAGTCTATTCATTAATATAAAATTGTAATACAGTTACCATAAACCCGCGAACTTGTGAATGAGACATATAAAAATCTAAAACTTCAGTATTTGGGTTCAATTTAATTTTAGAAATAATATTAAATTAATCAAAAACTCTTTATTATTGATTAAAAATTAATATTTCAATCTTTGTCCCCCAAAATAATACCATAAAGCATATACCCAAATTCTAGATTATATGTTAGAATCTTTTAAGCTCCCCACATTAGTGTTATGGAGCCTAGAATTTTTGAAATAGCATCATTTTATATGCAATTTATGATAGAAAATTTTGACATGAAAATATTATCTGGGCCTCTCTTGGCTACGGGTCATTATAGAAAGAATTGCTTATTATATAATTACTATAAATGGTTTTACAAAATTTTAATTATTATCTTTTTTTAAATTATTTTAGACATAACTTATACTTCGGTGAATATTTAAGAAAACTTCAGTTCTGTATAATTTCTGTTTAACATCTTTGTAACATATTATTATTTTTCATATTTCAAAATTTGTACCAATATTTATATAAACCCAAAACAAAAAAAATAACTTTGAACCATCCATACAAACAATTTGTCTACAAAAAATAATGCATTGTGATAACTTGAGAATGTAATTTTTTTTAAAAAAAAACAAATCTAAGCAATATTACAAATTAAATTATTATTATTATTATTATGTTAAATCAATGGAATGTTAAATAAGGAAAATATCACCCCTCCCCTAATTTGATTTTTATTTAAAATGCGTGAAACTTGTCACTTGTCCGGTATTTTGCGTATAAATATATATCGTCTAACACCCCCTCCCTCATCCTCGGGATACATTTTTCTTAATTTTTATTTTATTTGTTACTAGAAAGAAAAATCGAAAAAAATTTTTTTTTAAAAAAAATTGCTTCATAAATATTCTGAAACGATATTGCTGACTTCTAAAAGATTGAGCAAAAATTTTTTTAAATAATATTTTTCTCGAAATTATTTATTATTACTTTTCATTTTAATTTACAAAGTAATATTTTTTTTTGCAATTCTTTTTTTTTATCGCTATTAATTATAAATATATTTATAATTTATTTTTTTAAAAAACTTTATTTTTACAGCCACTGCAATAATAAAAATTGAAGAACTATGAACGTATTATACATTTTATATATATGTTATATTTAACGCTATATAATATTTCTTCCTTTATTTCTTAATAATATACAAATTATACAAATCTTCCAACTCCCCGCCCTATCGATTTGTATGATAATATAACTCATCAAATTTATAAAAAAAATAGTCTTTTTAATTCTTGTCTTTTTGTTTGATTTAAATAATATTTTGATAAATTACTTGGTTTCCATCATGAAATTTTTTCTTATAAAATATTCCTTTTTAAAATGATTATAGAGATAGAATATTAAAGGGATAGATAAGTAGTCACATCTATGGGAATCCTAATTCTGTAGCATGTCCATAAGGCCTAAGTTTAATTTGAGCATCCTGAAAATATTTTATATTGAAGGATTCCACTTTATAAGTAACCTAACTTAAATTATTCAAACTAAAATTACTCTATTTTATACTACATTTCGATAATGTGATTTAAATATGTTCCATAAGTGAAAATAAAAATTAGTACTGTTAATTAACGTTGATGAAAGTAACATTTTTACTAGTGGCGTTACTTTTTTGAAAAAAAAGATAAAAATTTAAGCCGAGTTTTTGATTCGGATCAACCATCATTGTCTTCATTTTTATTTATTACATTTTTGTTGTTGAATATTATACATTCAAGATTGGTAATCTTATTAATATTGAATCAGCAAGGGATGCTATTTATATTCTCTTATTATAATAATAATTTATTTTGTAAATAATAATAATCATAGTTCCCACCAATGACATTAATATTGATTTCGACTGACGATTTATTTATTAAAAGTATAAATGCATTGAAATCAACTATAGTCAATCTCATTAGGTTTAAAAGACGCCAAAAAAAATTTCCTCTAAATACCTTTCAATGGCGGACTTATGTGTGAATGTACATTTTGAATCTTCAATATTAGGTTAATGATAATGTCATTGGTTTCCCAAGGGAAATCAAATTATAGGGCTGCAAAATAGTCGTAAGTAGTAGAATAATCTCCCATACCGTATTTTTTTTAATATTATTTCTATACACAAATATTTTTGCTTATCTCTTATAATTTTACAATTTATATAATAAATAGGTAATTGTATTTTACCTTTTACAATATAATGTCCATAAGAATTTCCTATCTAGAGATCGGTATAGGGAATATGTCAATTTTACGCTACACTAAAATGTTAATTCAAACCTCCCTGTAACTCCTGAACGATTAGAAATCAGAACAAATTATGTTATATCTTTATTTTGTGTAAGCCGTATTTTTAAATTGAAACGTTTTTGAGATTCTAGTTGTTAACGAGCTTCCATATGTGAAAATAAATGAGAGAAGATTTTTTAAAAAGATAATTAAGTGATATCCTTTTTAAAAAAAATATGTTTATTACAATTTGGACCTGCTAAGATTTTTACTTTTATCATGTATACTCACTGTAGAAAGGATGTATAACTAAATATTTTATTATTTGTTGTTGGGCCTTGAGAGTAGAATAAATAGAATATGAGACAACAATATTCAATTACTGGTTGTAAAATCCTTTTACCATTTTATATAAATGCCATCTTAATTTTATTTTTTTAATATATGACCTTATCTAAAAAAAGGTATATCTCAACTTTTTTCTTTATTCGCTCTGTATTCTAAAATGTTTTCTTAACTCGACCTATAAGCCATCAACGTTAACTGGTGCACCGATTTTGCGATTTCCTAAGGATTCGAAGTCAGCAGTTAGTGCATTTTTTTAAAATGTTTGAAATCTAGTTACTTGAAACCCAAATGGAAATTTTCAAAAAGGGCAAATATAGTAAAATTAGTTCTAATTATTTGTAATTAGAAATCTAAATTGGTGTGACTACCATGGATAAAAACAATTTTATCGAGATTAATTGACCATATGAGTTTTTTTTGAAATTTAATACAAAGCCTGTAATAGAAAGATTAGTTGACTAGATGTGATGTTACGACATACAAATATTACCTTTTTGTTATTTATAAAATATATTTGCCAATTTCGATAATTATAAACGCCTTCTTTCATAAAACTTTGTTAATAAATATCTATATAATAGTTAGCCTACTATAAAAAAAATGGCATCCTGATCCAATTTATTCGATTATGATCTTCATTTTGTAAATAATATTTCCTAGCTAATTTTGTTAATCATTAAAACTCTAACACCTTCAGATGCCAATAAGTGTAATTTTTCTAATTCTATTAGAAATGTACACCTGCAAGGGCAAAAGATTAGCGACATGGGCCACCCGGAATATAATGATTTCAAAGTTACCCTGCATTCACAGTTAGGAATTCACTTCAAAGTATATAAAATATGTTGCATTTTTGTGTATTTCGCCGCGAAATAGAGCTGACTTTGAATTTTCTAAACAACAGATCTCCTGTGCCATAACTTTTACGGCTACATCTTTGGAGTATAAAGTACGCTATTATCTAATGCTCTTTTTTTGAAAATAAATAATGCGCCAATTGGAGTAAATAAGAAATAAAAATATATCTATAATTTAAGTCTCTGTTAAGACATTGTAGTTAATATTAGGGATATATCCGGAGAATTCTAGGAAACTTCGAAATCTTTCCTATAGTTTCCTCAATTTTTATAATGTGTTTTTTAATCAAATAAGGATTTTTATCATATTTTAGAAATATATTTTTCCCTTGTGGTTCATAAATCTTAATTGTGCTTTGTTTTTTATATACGTTCATTTTCGATAATATAATAGATCCTAGTAATATTCGTAAGAAGGAAGATTTCTAATTGTGTGAAATATATTTAACATTAAAACAGTTAATAACTAAAATAAGGATAAGGAGTAGGATTAGGATTAAAGGTTAAAAGTTAAAGAGATATTGGATAGGGTAAGCCAATTTGCTCTTTTAATTTTAATTCAACTAAAATATGTGTTTTTTAATAAAGTATTTGATTAATGAACTTCACTATAATAATAATGTAAAGTTCCGAAAAATAATTTTAATAAAATATATTGATAATCTATTATCAGAAGAGCAAAGTAAGGTAGAAATTGAATTGGCAAAGGACATTTTTAAGTTAAATTATTCATTTTCCATAAGGTAACGTTATTGGAACAAATTATTTTGATCTCTAAAACCAGGATTTAAAATGTTCTCAAGATACAAGATACTTACTCAGTAAATATTTATTAAACAGTGAATGTGGAAGGATTAAAAATATAGTAACAGAAAGATTAGATAAAATTGACCCATGATGGAAGGAAAAATATAGGAGGTGAATAATAAATTTTATTGTATGTCCCATTTTCTATAATTGGAATAGGGACCAATATGCATACGGAAGAATATATATAAAGTAAATTTATTGAAGAAATAGGAAACACAAAAATATAATAACAAATGTAATTAAGAAAACCTGGGCATTTGCAAGAAATAAATATCCAGCTATCAAATGCATTGGGTCTGCATCTCGTGGTAATTGTCGTTTCCCGTTTTTCCTCAATTATAGCTTTCCAGAAATTTTACATCCCTAATTAATATTCATTTAGTAGAGAGCGAAAATGAAAACGGTTTGTTGAATTTGGCAATTTCCAAATAGAAATGAAATTATAATCGTATTTTTTTTCTAAAACTCGATATTCAATATCATTCTTAGGATATTAATATATATTAAGAGATACTAGTAACTAAATTATTAATTAGTTCTTAAAAAAGAAATAAAGGATAACGAAACCTCAATAAAAGTAAAATTTTAGTTTTAGTGCTTCAGTATCATCAATTATAAAATGACAACATCGTTTCAAAATATCTACAATCCGTTATTTAATTTAGAATTAGCGGGAAAAAATTTTAAATTTTTTTAAAATTGCATTAGAAATTAATTTTAAAGTTTAAATCTAGAAATAGATTTAAGGTGGATATCTTGATGAATTATGCTAGGTGAGAGATTAGAGAAATAAGAAAAACATATTAAGGTTAATAATAAATTATACGGAAGGCAATTATTATTTAAGTGAATTTTTTATATATTTTAAGACATTTGTTTCGATAAATTTACAACTTGAAAACGAGTAACGTATTTTATTCAATATTTATTTTATTACATAATATTACAACTAACTCAAAATAATTAACAAAAAACACGACTATATATATCTATAAAAACAAATTAAACTTTAACAACCTAAAGTCATAATCACAATATACTTTAAAGTTAATGTTCAAATTTTATAACCTTTTATCTTTAATATCCCACAGTGATAATTTATACAATTTTAAAAGTTACAATTTCAAAGTTAATTTAAATTTAGATAATTTTCCTAATACAACAGTTAATATTTCGCAGTGGTGTATGAAGTATGCTTGGAAACCTAAGGTCCCAAGTTCAATCCTGGTAAGGAACTAAAAATTTTCGGGTTTTTCTTCGATGAAGGTATAGACATATGATATGATAAATTTCTGGAGAAATGTCACCCCGGTCACCGACAAGCTTGGACAGCCGGGTGCTAGGATACTTGTCCAATAAACCAAATAAGACGGCCAGCTGAACTCGTGGGTCAGATGATAACGATTTCTCAGCCAGCGCTAGGATGATGGTGACCTCGGGGGCCGTTCAAGCCCAATGTCTACCTAGTTAAAATTGATTTAATAACGATACTCAGGTGGGAGATCCATCGGGATTGATACCGGTGGGAGATCAAGATCGAGATATCTGTCGATTTCGGTGTGAGGAATACTCCGGTGGGATATCTGTCGATATTGATTTAATACACCGGT